TGAAATCTATGCCAAAGCTCTTCGCCGCAAGGCAGGCGCTTCGCTGGAGGCTGCCAAGAAAGAAGATCCAATCTTGCCCCAGGATAAGAAAAAGAAATTCTTTTCCTTTGGTCGCAAGAAGAAGGCCGTGAATGGAAATGATGCCGAGGCTGGCAAAAAGCCAGACACAGAACCGGAGGAACCCTCACAGGCTAATGTTGGCACAATTATCAACTTGATGGCGATTGATTCGTTCAAGGTAAGCGAGGTTGGCGCCTATCTCCACTTCTTGTGGGCTAGTGTGCCTGTGCAGATCATAATGGCGATTACTCTGCTTTACCACATCATGGGTTTCAGCTCATTTGCTGGTATTGCCCTGATGGCCCTGATGTTGCCTATCAACCTTTTCATCGCCCGCCAGTTCAACAAGGTCCAGAACCAGATTTTGAAGGGCACAGATGCTCGTATTCACGCCACCAACGAAGTCCTCCAAAACATCCGCATCATCAAATACTTTGCTTGGGAGCAACGATTCCAAGACATTGTCGGAGAGAAGCGCAAGGCCGAACTAAAAGCCCTGCGCAGGCGATACATCCTCTGGTCCTCTGCCGCAACTATCTGGTACGGCACACCTATCCTCATCACGTTCATGTCCTTCTTCTTGTACACCGTGGTTGAGAAGAAACAATTGACCCCTTCGATCGCTTTCCCTGCCTTGTCCATGTTCTCTTTGCTTCGCGTGCCCTTGGACCAGCTCGCGGATATGGTGGCCCACGTTCAGGAATGTAAAGTTTCCCTAGACCGTGTGGACAAGTACCTGAACGAGGAGGAAACGGGCAAATACGATCAACTCCGTGATAGTACCGCCGCAGGAACACCTGCCAAAATTGGCCTTGAAAAGGCAACGCTATCCTGGAACAGCTCCGCTGCTGAGTCTGAAGATACCGAATCCGATGCAGACTTGGAAGCTTTCCGTTTGATCAATGTCGATGTTGAATTTCTTGTTGGCAAACTTAACATCATTGTTGGCCCCACTGGATCTGGAAAGACGTCTTTGCTCATGGCTTTGCTTGGAGAAATGAAACTTCTCGAGGGCCGTGTTCATCTCCCCGGCGGAGTTTCCAGCAGGGCAGATCTCCCAGTGGATCCTGAAACTGGTTTGATCGACAGCGTTGCTTACTGTGCTCAAGAAGCCTGGTTGGTCAACGACACCGTAAAGGAAAATATCGTCTTCGCCTCTCCTTATAACGAGCGTCGTTATCGTGCAGTGCTCAAGGCATGCGCTCTTGAACGTGACCTTGCTATCCTTGATGCTGGCGATCAAACTCTCGTTGGCGAAAAGGGCATCAGTTTATCTGGTGGCCAGAAGCAGCGAATCTCTCTTGCCCGCGCTATCTACAGCAGTGGCCGCCACTTGCTGCTAGATGACTGTCTCTCTGCTGTCGACTCTCATACCGCCAAGCACATCTTCCGCCAAGCTCTTACCGGCCCTCTTATGTTGAACCGGACATGCATTTTGGTAACACACAACGTTGCTTTGACTGTTCCCCAATCGGACCACGTTGTGGTACTTGAAAACGGTAGAATTTCCGCCCAGGGCCGTCCCAACGATGTCGCCGCTACTGGTGCATTGGGCGATGAGTTCCTCAAGTCTCTACCCGATTCCCTGCCCAGCAGCCGTGGACACTCCCGTGTCCCTTCGGACCAGGAAGAAGAGGATGAAGATTTGGACGGCACTCCGAATGGAAAGCCAGAAGACAAGGCCAAGCTCTCTGAATCCAAGGCCACCGGTAGTATCAAGTGGTCGACCGTCAGCATGTACCTCCGCGCCATGGGCCCGTGGTACTACTGGGTCGGTGCTGTCTTTGTATTCTGCTTGCAGCAGTTGGGCTCTGTTTCTACCAACATCTGGATTAGACAGTGGGCAAACTCTTACCACACCTCCAAGGCTGGGACCGAGGATGCCGGGCAGTACGCCGCCGCGGCCCACCTCAAGTCCCCCACTTTCAACGTTGGAAGTGTTGGGCGTGTGAGCAGCTGGAGCTTGCCCCAACTTGGCGCAAGCTCTGCCACCGAGGCTGATGGCGAGGTGAACGTGGCTTATTACTTGGGCGGCTATGCAATCCTAGGATTCCTCTATATCGCGATATCTTTGTCTCGGGAAGCTGTTCTGTTCTGGGGTTCGCTCCATGCATCATGGAAGATTCATGATCGCCTTCTCAGGGCGGTCATGCACGCCAAGTTCCGATTCTTTGACTCCACGCCTCTTGGACAACTGATGAACCGGTTCTCCAAGGATGTTGAGTCTGTCGACCAAGAAGTTGCTCCTGTTGCTATCGGCATGCTTCACAGTCTGGCATCTGTCATTATGATTGTCATTCTGATCTCATGGATCACTCCAGGATTCTTAATAGCTGGTGTTTTTATCACCCTGGTGTACACTGCCCTCGGTGCCGTGTATTTGAACTCTTCCCGAGACCTCAAGCGTCTGGAATCTGTGCAGCGCAGTCCGTTGTACCAGCAGTTCGGTGAGACCCTGAACGGTATCGTCACCATCCGTGCCTATGGTGATGGTCCTCGCTTCATGGTCGACAACCACCGCCGCATCAATGCCTACAACCGGCCACACATCTACCTCTGGGCTAGCAACCGCTGGCTCGCTCTCCGTGTCGACTGGACTGGTGCTCTGGTCTCCTTCTTCTCGGCTACCTTTGTGTTGTTGAACGTTGGAACAATCGATGCCGGTGCCGCTGGTCTTTCGCTGACCTATGCCGTCACATTCACAGAGAACGTCCTCTGGCTTGTGCGTCTGTACTCTGAGGTCCAGCAAAACATGAACTCTGTCGAGCGTGTAAGAGAATATCTCGATGTGGACCAGGAAGCAGCTGCTGTTATTGAAGAATCACGACCTGCGTCTAATTGGCCCAGCCAAGGTGCGGTCGAGTTCAATAGCTACACTACGCGGTACCGACCCGATCTGGACCCGGTTCTCAAGGAGGTTTCGTTCTCTATCAAGGCCGGTGAAAAGGTCGGCATTGTGGGTCGCACCGGTGCTGGCAAGAGTTCTCTCGCGCTGGCTCTCTTCCGCGGTCTCGAAGCCGAGAAGGGCCAGATCGTCATCGACGGCATTGACATCGGGTCAATCGGACTACGGGATCTGCGCGAGTCAATCACTATTGTCCCCCAGGATCCGACCCTGTTCACAGGAACCCTCCGCAGCAACCTCGATCCATTCGGTCTCTTCAGCGACGAGCAGATCTTCACAGCCCTCCGTCGCGTGCACTTAATCGGATCCAGCACCTCAGGCACCGCAACCCCCACAACCGCGAGCAGTCTCACCGCAACGGAAAGCAACATCAATGGCAACGGCGTGAGCAGCAGCGCAGTGACGGTAGTCGACAATAAAAATGTCTTCAATAACCTCGACAGCCAAGTCTCAGAATCCGGCTCCAACCTCTCCCAAGGCCAGCGCCAGCTCCTCTGCCTCGCCCGTGCCCTACTCAAGAACCCCCGTGTCTTGATGATGGATGAAGCAACTGCATCCATCGACTACGCCACCGACGCCAAGATCCAAGAGACACTCCGCGAACTGAGCAGCAGCACAATCATCACAATCGCGCACCGTCTGCAGACCATCATCGACTACGACAAGGTCCTTGTCCTCGACCACGGCCGCGTCATCGAGTACGACCACCCCTGGACCCTCATCAACAAAGAAGACGGCCTCTTCCGCGGCATGTGCGATAACAGCGGCAACATGGATGTTCTTCTAGATGGGGCTCAGCGCGCTTGGACGCAAAAGCGTCTTGTCGATGATTCTTAGAGCGACAAGCACGGTTGTTCCTTTTTTCTTCTTTATTTTCCCTATCTTATAGAATCTCTCGCGTACATATCCATAGTTACCCTACTTTGTCTATTACCTGCCATTGGTTTCCCCCCGCTCATTCCTCGGAGTGGGGATGCAAAAAAGAGAGAGCGAGAGAGACGTCAATGTAACCATCATTTTATGGCCCAGAGGCTTTATCATCATTATCATCATTATCATCTATTCAAATGTTATCATGATTCTGCTTGTGGCTTACCTCCCACCCCCATACCGGTGTGGTGTCTTCGGTTACTTTGCCTGTTTTCTGCTACATTGTGCATGCATATATCATATCTTTCCTGGGGTTTGTAGTCCTACAAGTATTCCATCGTTGCATGGCACATGTCATAATGTATGCTTCTGATAGAGAATGAGAATGCTTGTGATAACACTTGAGATTGTGTGGGGCTTGATTTTGGTCATACCACTATGTAGCTCGATGAGCTATGTATGTGTTGTGTGCTAAGTGGGTAGGCCCGCAGGATTACTTAGTGTAGTGTAATGATTATCGAAGTATTTGCATTCAGAGCAAAAAAAGCCTACAGTGGAATTTCGACACTGGAATTCACTCTCATCTGATAGCATGTGTCTGCAGATGATCCCAAGGAACAGAATGGAATATCTTCAATCTGAACATGCCTGTCCATCTTCAATGCCCGACCTGCCTCTTCGCTAGCAAGCTCCGAACATGAAGCACCTAGCATTTCATTCCGCCTGCAGGAATGCCATCCCCGATATCTCCTCCAATCAACCGGGTTTCTCATTGCTTGTCGCAAGTCGGGGTAGGAAGGTGATGGTGTGATTCCAGTTGGATGACGACATCCGGACGAGTCAAGAACGATTGACCGCGTAATTCGGGATATACTAGTATTCCCCCATCTGTGTCGATGCATTCCACCAAATCGTCGAAGAGCCCATGTCTGAGATGGGGTCGATTCAATGGAACGGGACTGGATCAAGCCCCACAGTAATCAAACAAGCCTCCGACCGAGTGGAAAGGGCAGAGCTCCCAAAGCTAGAGATCCCCCATAGGAAATCACATAGCCCTAGCAGCATCTCTGGCTTCTCTTCATAGAAAAGCACATAGAAAAGAAGAAGCGAAAGTGAGATAAGTTTTTCAACAAGAAAATTAATCCAACAACCACATGTCGCATTCTCACTTGGCGCGGATCCCCCTCAATACGGTAAAGACACAGACGATCGCAGCCGAGACAACGAAGAATCCAAACGACGGCCAATAAATCGGGCAGTCATCTGATGCTATTGCGGCCACGACGGATTCTTTCAGACGGGATAGGGACTGGGACTGCTTCAGCTTTGTGTCTTGGATTATGTACCAATCCGGCTGTGGTTGGGCCGATGCATCCGTGCCGATCGCAGTATCCGTATCCGGAAGTGATTTCTGGAGCTCTGTCTCCACCACCGTTTGATGATGGTTTGATTTGGGTTTCGGATTCGACGGTGATCGGTTTGACGAGGGCATGAAGCCTGCTTCGCGCATCGCGGTCTCTTTCAACATTGCTGCGAGCTCATCTTCGTCGGGTAAGGTTTCCGGGAAATAGTATCGCTTGTTATAGGTATATGTTGAGGCAAGGGATTTGAATGCGATTGAGTTTTCGTAGGGAGTAGGAAGTGCGAGGATTTGGATTGAGTACATTAATACCAAGAGCAAGGCCAGTTTGCGGGCCATCTTCTGATGTGCTCTGGTGATATCGTGATATGGTGATAACGGATGACTGCGGGGATTCGATAAGATCGACGCGCTTTGTTTGGATCAGAGGATATGATTATATATTAGAATAAAGAGTAAGAGAGAAGGGAAAGGGAAGAGGAAAAAAAGTAAAAGCAAAAGCAAAAGATAACATCATCGAAGAGAGAGAGACGAAGAGCACGTGGAGTGATGTTCGGATTCGGAAACGGAGTCGCATATGGGCCTAAGTGTCTTAGTACAGTCTTAGTACTCCGTAGAGTCCATTCTTTACTATAATTTAGTTTAATCCGCTATATAAGTCCAGGCCCTTATCTGTTCTCTTTTTAAGGGTCTATCGATCCTTATGTATGTTGTACTTTGTATATCGCCCTCTCGGATTGGCCAATAGATCACAGCCTTATATCTCCGTGGACCCCTTCCCCTCAGCTATAATCCTGCAATTTGTGCCGACGCGACACAGAAAAGAGCTATGAACTTCCTAATCGTATTACCCCTCCAATAATCCTCAATCTAAGGAGCACGGCGTTGAATCCCTGCGCAACTAGGCTCCACTAGCGCAAAAGTCATCCCACCCCAAGATAAGGAAACACGCCGAGATCCCCGTGCACGACAACCAGCAGTTGGCAATGTTAGCCTGCAGGCATGACTGAAACACACAGCTGATGATGAGGTCTTGCAGTGTGATGCCATGCGTGATCAATCCGAGTTTCACCGCTGGACACAAATGCCATTACGGCGGTCGTGATCCCTGTTGTGAGGCTAGGTTGCCAAAGACTCAATGTTTGAGCGCGAAATCGGGTCATCTCGGTAGTGTTAACATGCCAATGCGGGGTGAGGATTAGTCCATGTTCTTGTTCTTAATCATTGACTGTGTAATATTTATGGAGTGTGACAGGCGCTACTCAATAAGAAAGGGGCCTTATAGATACTCCCAGGCTTGAGCTGCATGGGCTACTCGACATGCGAGAACTCACGCTAGTTAGCACACACCAATGACCATCGTTCCGGCTAAATCCAACATCGGGCTTCAGTTCTGGGAGACTAGAGACTCGAAATTAAAATATTATATAATCCATAATTAATCTAATTATACCTCGTATATATATCTCTTAGCATAAAATAGACTATGCTCAAGCTCACCCTACATCTCGATATATATATATATATATATATATTCTTCGTATACTTACTATATTTACTTACGTTTGTAAGGATAATTTATCATTATTGTTTTAATTATAGACGTCCTTTCCGTATTATACCTAATGCTCCTTCCCTACAGAAATAAATAATATATACATATAGTAACGTACTTGTGGGTGGGGTATCCGGTGCCTAGACTCGCCCGATTACGTGAATACTATTTTTATATATAATTCGGGCATAAGCGTCCGTACGGGCCATACAACTAGCCCCTGCAAACTAGCAGGGTCGCTCAACTCGATTTAGAATATAGATATAACCCCCAAAAAATTAAATTCTGTAATACTAGTCTATACGCTTTCGCTCCAACCCGACACAAGCTTTCAAGAATAGGAGAATTCAACATGATCATGGCACATATTTCCTTTGATTCTGCTTCTCTTCAAAAGCGATTTCATGCACTCTTCAGACACGATGCTATCTGATTCACATGACCTAGACGTAGAAGAGCGCGACAGCAGCACCGAATAGAGCCATGGCTCCCTTGGGAGTGCTGAATTGAGACGCCGCAGCACCAGTTGAGGGCAGAGCGGAGGCGGAGGCACTGGTGGATGAAGCGTCGGAAGAGGTGGAAGACGAGGTCGTGGAAGAAGAGGTAGAAGAGGAGGAGGTGGTGGTGGCGGTGGTGGAGCCTGCGATGGAAAAGCTGTGTTAGTATGATCGCCTTGTAACATTGTGCGGAGTTGCATCATGCCTGAGGAAGACAAAGGACTAGTCGACGACGTGGGTGTTGGAGATGCCGAGGATGTAAAGGTGGAGGTGACGGATGTAGCAGTGGTTGCAGTGGTTGCAGTGGATGTCGCGGAAGACGAAGTGGAGAAGGAGGAGGAGGTGGCGGAAGAAAACGTGGAAGAAGAGGAGGTGGAAGTGGAGGAGATGGAAGAAGACGAGGATGTAGTACCATCAACTGAAGCGCCCTTCTCAACAGTAAAAGTGTTGCTGACGGCGAGCTGGCCAGCAGAATCAATTATCTGGATCTCGTAGTCATCTCTAAGACATGGCAGAATGTCATTAGTGTGTTTTTTCTCTGTCTACCCACACTATCCTCTACATACCCGTTGGAAATGCTAGGGTTAGGCTGGGTCGTGTATTCGCCATCAGAGGTCTTGACGTTATCCGCCAACTTGGTCTGGAAAGAGCCATCCTGAGATCGAAGGATGATGCTAATTACTGAAGGATCACTAGGAACGCTAGTAAACTTGATAGTCTTGGGAGTGGAGAAATCCCACACCGTGTCTGATGTCGGAGTGGTGACGGTGATGGCAAAAGCCGATGAGAGGAGGCTCAGGGCCGTGATGGTGAATGAGTAGCGCATTTTGATTGAATGGAATTCTTGAATCACTGGAGAATGAGCTAGAGAAAACGTCCTGCTACTTCCTAGGAATAGACTATATATCTCTGGTCGATAGACTGCGAACTATATTGTTGGAAGATCTATATACAACTTACAGGAATCGGCAACTTTCAGCTCAGGCCGAGCGCATTGAGGATACGAGACAGTTCACGCCTTGCATAGAAGCAGCATATGATCTCTAACATAAGCTGAGCCTCCTATGGAGAGACTAAAAAAGCCCAGGGGTCATTCTAATGCCCACGTAAGGGAACAACGAACGGGCACCTCTACATCAGCGACCCGCCCTACTGTGTTGGGTCTACCAAAGTGAGCATTGCACCTTATCCTTCCAATCAAATCTGAGACAATCAACTCTAAGAGCTATATACAGAAGCCAGTAACTTTTAACTGAAGGGGGCGCATGAGAATACGAGATAGCGCAAGCCTTGCATAGAAGCAGAATGAGACCTCAAATATGAGCCGAGCCTCTTATGGAGAAACTAAAAAAATCCATAGGTCATTCTGGTACCCACGTAGGGCAATCACGAACGGGAACTACTGAGATCATCTCTGTATCAGCGACCCGCCCTATTGTGTTGGGACCATAAAAGTCAGCATCGCACCTTATCTTTCCAATCAGGTCTCTAAGACACGCATTGTGGTCTATGGTCCTTGCTTACAAAGGATTAAACTTCCGACTAAGGCCTACTATCATGTCAGCGCTACGTTAGCGTTGAGAAGTGCCGTAAATACGGAGTAAACCGACACGGCTCGGAAATCGAGGTTATCATAATTGGAAATTTATTTTCGTTGTATTGTATCGTTACTTACAGGTATGAATGAATACCGGTCATGACTGGTAACATTCACCCGATGAGGCTACATACTTTGTACTACGTATATCTGTGTTGTGCCCAATAGTCAAAAGCGACTGTCGGGATTCTGCTCCAAGTACGGAGTTTCTAGTTACTCAACATATCTCGTATTTTCCGCGGTAATTCACGAGATGTAAAATTAAAGCAATATAATTAAACGTAGGGAGTATCTCGTCTATAGTAAAACCGCTGCCGAACCCATCGAAAATAACGTCAACAAGCAAAATAAAAAACCATTACGGAGTACAGGAAACATGATCAAAACAGAGGGAATGGCGGTCTAGAGAATTAGATGGAAATGAAAGACGTGGTCACTGCAATCGTGACTACCAATGTCCTCATCTCCCACGATAAACCGAATAAAGAATTCTCACCGCTGGTGGAAGTCTTCGGACTCGCCGAGGAGGTTGTCGATGTTCGGGTATCATCTCCACAAATATTGGTGCTTCGTTTTAGGCTTTTAGTAGGGTAGTACACCCGAGGCCCTCCATCCGAGCTGAGGTCCACATTGAGATTCCCGCCTGCATCAGTAACAAATGTTTTGCAAGACAAGATCTCGGTCACATTTTGTCGGGAGGAAAATCCTGTGCCGTCGGAGCCAAGCGTAATTTTGGTGGTGGCATTGGTGGCTGGTTTGGCTCCAAGGTTGGACACGACACTCACAACCTGGTTACCGCTAAATCCCTTGCGCGTGGCCAAGATGTTTGTTGAGTTGTAGATTGGCAATGAGAGGTACGATAGATAGTCGCTCCCTGACTTCGGAGCGACCGTGGACTTTTCACCGTCACCGCTCGCATATGATCGAATGCGATTCAATGATTGGACTAGCAATGGCAGGGAGGTCGAGTTCATCGAGTATTTGGTAAGCCATAAGGCCTCCCGATTGACAGGGTTGAATCCACCTGACAGGTGCTGTTCTTCCCCATAGTAGACTGTATTTCTTTAATTAGTATCTTTGGCTTTTGTTTCTATTTTTGGGGGCGCAGCATACGGATGGGAATACCGTCAGCGATCATGCTGATTGTGAGAATGTTGCGAGCCAGCTAATCAGGAGTGATAAAGTTAATACGTGCTGACAAAATACCCGATGCAGTCGACTTACCGATATGTCTGAAGTATACGAGCCAAAGCGAGGGACATCCTGGTTCGATGTGAAAGTTCCCAGGGGTAGTACATCCTCGCAATTTGTCCTGATGTAGTCGATGGACTGTACAATCCTGGTCAGGTCTCCGTTGGTCGTGTTGAAGGCCTCTGTGAGGATATAATACCTAAAAAGTGTTAACACGCCCTCTGTGCATTTTGATGGGCTACTTACAACGGATAATTCAAAAGTCCGCTTAGACTAGGCTGCAGAGAACAGTAACCGTATGCATCTCTTGTGGCGCCTTCGCCCATGGTGAAAATACCCGCTGACTTGCTGAAATTGGAGAAGAATGTAGGAGCAATGTTCAAGACACTGTCGATTCGCAAGCCATCAACTAAAAATGATAACTGTTATTAAATCCGTTGAAGAGATGGGGAAACGTATAGACATACTGGAGTAGTTCGAAACCAACTGCGAAACCCAGGTGCCCAGCATCTGCTGGACTTCCTGATCCTCGTTTCGCAGATCTGGAAGCGATATGGTGTTGTCTCCCATCCAACACTGACAAAGGGTTAGCAATGCTCTCATAACATGCGATGACAGACTTACATCCAGAACACAGGTGTCATTTATGGGGTCCTCCGAGAGTAGCTTGTAGTCGTGGAAATACTTCTGATCATTGAATGGATTGAATGTGCTGTAGTCGACAGTGGAGGCATTCCCAGCCCAGGCCATGTCACCAACAATAATATCCAGCATCAAGTACTATTTTTCATGTCAGATTCGTGAATAGGCATGGTAGCTGGCGACTCACCATGCCACGCGCGTGCAACGCTGCGGATAACGCTTGGAGGTCATCGGAGGTGCCAAAATGGGAGTTGATGGAATACAGGTCGTTTGGCCAATATCCATGGTATGCTATCATCCATCGATCGTTAGTTCTCTATATTCCTTGACAGTCAAGGGCGGCCATACCTGAGAGATCTGCTGTGCGAGTTGACTCTTGACTTTGCACTGGAGATATCCAAACTGCATCGAACCCGAGTTCCTGAATATAATCGAGCTTGGTGATGATGCCCTGTAAGCTCCCTCCACAATACTCTCCCAGTGCTGCATCACAAGAAGCAGTGGTTGAGTTATCAGATCGAGCGAAGCGATCGGTGACCACTTGGTAGACTGACCGACCGAGCCATTGGTCTCGGGAAGCCGCATGTACTGTCCCAACGGCAGCAACCACCAAAACCTTCCACCACCACATTGTCGGTGGCGTTTGCATGACAGGTCGAAGGAGAATCAAATGACGGATGAAATTAGAGACAATGAAAAGGCTACATATGTACTTAAATTAACTGACAATGTCATATATAATTGATGTGGTGAAAATGATTTACATATGTAAGGTGCGGTACGTGCGTATCGTACTGTATGTGTAATACATATGTTAATGATATGTTCCTGTTCCTAGTGTTCCGGTCATGTATTCTTTCGGCCCGATCGGTAGGCTTCGCTGATCCTTGGGAATCCCGCCTCCCAATCGAGGGCATAAATTCCGACGGTAGACGGTCGGGCCCTAGTTACTCGTCTTTGGGCTACGCTAGCCTGGACCTGAGGTAAATAATTACACCTGTAGGTCATAAATTGTTTTATATACTTTTATCTTAATGTAAGGGAAAAACTTATATAGAGAGTTGTATACCTAGGTAGTTTTTTTAAAAAAAGTTTTGATTTTATACATCTTTTTAGTACCCTCTATAGTCTTTAATCTGTAGATCACTATATCAAACTTTTTGTATTAAGTTAGTTGACCTAATAATGTAACTTAATTCTCTATTTGATATCTTTCCCTGAATATCTATATCTATTTGACAAATGATGTTCTCATTTAATGAACAGATTGGGATTGTTTTTAGGTTTTTGGTCAGGACGGGTCTACGGAAACTTTTGCGGTAGAACTTTAGTTACCGATCATTGTCCATGGTACTTGAGCGTGTTGGGCTGTGGGAAGAGCCGCATGGTTGATTGTTGGGTTATTTTCCACTCCCCTGTACTCGTCCACATGGGGGTCCAAGGATGACAGCTAGGATTTATTCCATTTCGGTCTGGAAAGCGTCATTGGGGTTAGATAAGGAGAAGTTCGGCCTACCCGTTGAATATTTGATCTTTTGGCCCTCAACAGGTTAATAGCAAACCATCGGCAGGTTCAGCTACGCCAAGTCGAGCGCAAAGTGTACAAATTGCCGACCATCAATTGCGCTATGCCGCAGCCCTAGCAGCAGGGACGGAGTGGCCGTGAACAAAATCTAAAACACAATACGAGGACGCAACGAGCCACACCCTTATCATCATATCCACCTCTCACTCTTTCTCATAGGTCAGTCCTGTATCAGGTATGACGTGTTCTATCTTATAGTAGGCAGGATACCCGATCTAGCATATTTTCACTTTATGATCGATGATTTACTTCTGGCATGGATTGTCTTGAAAGCTCGTATAGCTTCTAAGGTTTGCAGGAACCACGTATGAATCATTCTCCACCATATAAGCTATCGAACAAAGATCCACTTCGTATTTTGGATCAGCTCGGTAGACTACACCGAATGTCCTATACCGAAGTGTGTCAGATTGTCTCCATCTCTATGAGATCTGATCCTTCCGGCTTGGGCCTGGAACCTGATGTATACCAACCCCCACCAAGTATGGCGTATACCAGCTTGAGACCCATAGTCCTAAATTAGGCCCGCTCGGCCGCTTAGCGTGGGTATGAATATGCTTTGGTGTGGATTGAGGCTGTACAGCAAGGCTCGCTCAGGTCTCCAGCCGTTCGCCTGATACCTGCGTCTATGCTGATTTACAAAACAGTGATTGGTATTCTATTGCATTGGACCGGGCAGCTCGGAGTATCCATTATCTTTTCTGCATCTGCGCCCTATGAACCGTTCAGTCTCTCTGTTTCTATGAGTTATCTCTTCCATCCTGGCATGCACACCGTGGTTGATTGTCTGCAGTCGAGGCTCCAACAGCGTGTTTTGTGAATGTCATCATAGTGGCATTCACTGTGCGGAATGGAGTTGCTCACTTCCATCGCTCGTTACCTTGCCATTGTTGCAACATATATACGCATTGCGCAATCCCTGCCATATCTTCCAGAGGAAGCAGACTGGAATCTTAATCAAAATCAGACAGCGACACACCCCCTCGACTACTCGGGTCGATGGGAGGACCACTCATACAACCCTTCGCCGGAGAACTGGCGATTCCCCTTTTACACGATATTCCTCGATAGATTTGTAAATGGCGATCCGAGTAACGATAACGCGAATGAAACACAGTGGGAACAGATCTTGACCTCCAACGAGTTCCGCCATGGCGGCGACGTTCTTGGGTTGGTTGATACGTTTGATTATCTTCAGGGTATGGGGATCAAGGTGCGTTTGTTGCTTCAGGAAAACTGGATGCGAAGAATATATTGACCATATCCAGGGCGTGTATCTCGCCGGCACACCGTATATCAACTTCCCTTGGGCCGCGGATGGATACTCCCCGCTTGATCTGACTCTGCTGGACCATCACTTTGGCACAATCGAGAACTGGCGCACAATGATATCTGAGGCGCATCGGCGTGGGCTTTATGTTCTTTTTGATAATACCTTTGCAACGTGTGTGGGATCCATTTGCGCAACCTCCGATGTCGTTTGCTAATTGTGGTTAGAATGGGCGATCTTATCGGTTTCCAGGGTTTCTTGAACAAGTCCGCGCCGATCAACCCCAACGAGTACGACTATGTATGGAAGTACGACCGTCGATACTGGGACTTTCAGCCTGGAAATGAAGTTGAGGATGAATGTCCTTGGGAGTATCCTCGGTTCTGGGATGATGACGGTACCGGTTTGACCACCACAACCCTTGGTGCTTCATGTCGGAATAGTGAATTTGATCAGGTAATATTCTCTTTCTTTTAAGATTGAGCATGACTGACCTCTACAGTATGGAGAAGTTGCCGCCTTTGGAAACTACACCGAATGGGAAGGGCAGATATCCAAATTCGCATTCGTGCAGGATCGTCTACGTGGATGGCGACCGGACGTGCTAGCCAAGATCAAACACTTTTCGTGCCTCACCATCACCATGCTTGATATCGACGGATACCGCGTCGACAAAGCTTTACAAGTTACTCTTGACTCTCTTGGAGAATGGTCCGAGTATATGCGGGATTGCGCCAAGGGGGTGGGAAAGGATAATTTCTATATTCCCGGAGAGATTGTGGCGGGAAACTCTTTTGGCTCGCTTTATATCGGTCGCGGTCACCAGATAAACCAAACCATCTCCAATCTGACCGAAGCGTTCATGATGACGAACAAGACAGACAAGTCAGATGAGGATCTCTTCTTGAGACCTGCGGAGAGGTCCGCGCTGGACGGGGCGGCGTTCCACTACTCCTTATATCGTGGTCTCAGCCGGTTTTTAGGGTTAGTTTCTCACCCTCGCCAATTTCATTTTATTCAAGCTAACATAGTTCCGTATAGTCTAGATGGAATCTACACTGCCGAAGGCGACCCGCCAGTCAACTTTGTGGAGACCTGGAATGCTCTTGTGCAGACCAACGACATGATTAACACGAACACCGGCAAGTTCGATCCTCGTCACCAATTTGGTGTCACGAATCAGGATGTCTTCAGGTGGCCAGGGATCAAAAACGGGACCCACAAGCAGAATTTAGGTCTATACGTCGCTTCGTTGGTCATGCCTGGAATCCCCATCCTCTCCTGGGGCGAGGAACAGGAATTCTACGTACTCGACAACCAGGCTGACAACTATGTCTTCGGTCGTGGACCCATGTCATCCGCTCAGGCATGGCAGCTGCACGGATGCTACAAGCTGGGATCATCGAAATACGTTGATTTCCCGCTCGAGCGCTCCCTGACTGGATGCGCAGATGATTCCGTCAGTCTCGATCACCGCGATCCGTCTCACCCAGTGCGAGGACTCGTCAAGATGATGTTTGAGATGCGTGAAAACTATCCCGCTCTGAACGATGGCTGGTACCTGCAGCAATTGTCTAACCACACGTTCGACATCTACCTTCCAGGCAGTAGTGGGACACCGACCGAGACTGGAATGTGGAGTGTCCTAAGATCGCGCTTTGTGGATGCGCAGAATTTCGATGGCCAAGGACAGGGGAATCAGAGCGTCTGGCTGGTGTATTCGAATGACAACAAAACAGTTGAACACCAGTTCAACTGCAGCAGTAAGGACGCTTTGATCTCGCCATTTCCTACGGGAACAACGGTCAAAAACCTTTTTCCACCGTTCGAAGAATTCACGCTGGCTAACAGCTCGATTAAGCTTGGGTATGGTTGCTATTCTGAAATTGGTTCCTGTTACTGACAACGAGTAGATTGGAAGGATCTGATGTTCCCAACGGGTGTCATCCCAACCTTACTATGCCGGCCTGGGGGTTCAAAGCCTTTGTTCCGAAGGATAAATTTGTGCAGCCTTCCCCATATATAACACGCTTCTCCCCGGGACATGATGCTCGTCTTGTGCCCCTGGGAACAAGTGGGGAGACGGTACGAATTGGCTTCGAATTCTCTCAGGAGATGGATTGCGGGGATATCACCAACTCGCTGACGATCACGTCCAAAGCGCTTGACAATGAGACCCCACAGCTTGATACCACCTCGGTCTCTTGCCAACCTATTGAAGAGACCAATGTTGTGACATGGCCGGGGGCACTCACTAGCGTTTTCAGCTACGAGGTAGATTTGAGCAATGTCTTTCCAGGGGTTCACAGAGTCACACTTAGCAACGTGACTACAGCAGATGGAAATCAATCCACAGGTGTAAGTATATTCCTCGTTATACGGGTCGAGAAAGCCACAATACTAATTGAGTCGGGCAGTCCGTCGACCACTTTCTTTTCCGTATCGGAGAGCTAAACAATCCGATGGTCTGGCCACAGTTGGCCAACTACAGCCGAACGCTCCTGTTCGACAACCCGTCTTCTGAGACTGAGCCCTTATCAGTAATGCCGCAAGCCCCTGGCGCAGATATGTGGCGATACTCGCTGGATTTTGGAGCTACATTCAGTGCCTGGATGACATACACCGGCTTTAACACGACGATCCCCGGCAAAAATTGGACTGGCACCGTGGAGCAAGCCTGGGAAGGAGAACACATTATTGCCCAATACTGGAGCAAGTTGACTGGAAGTAGTTCTCAATGGCAGCACGGAGACACAAAATGGGCATACAATCCCCCACGTCGCTTCCCAAATCTCTTCATCGAAGGCGTGTTCAACCAGTTTGGATATGACGCTGGCTATTCCAACAAAATGGTCATTAACAACGTCACTGGCCTGTGGGAAATTCACTTCATGGGCGAATGGCCTGTGCAGGTTGCATTCAACGTCTGGGGATTAAACGAAGACGGCCTGGCCGATCAAACGCAGGTGTTTGGGGACATTGATGGAGACAACGTTCTGGATCAGGTCCCTCCAGTCACGCTGCTGAGCAATGTATTCAACGTCACCATCCCGCCCCCTTCGCCCTATCTTGCTTTCACGCTGTCGGTGGGTGACGGCGATCTTAAGGTCTACGCTACACCCACAGGATCCAGGTGGGTTCAGCTGGCCATCTTCATCGTGCTAGCGATTGTGCCTGTCACTACCGCTGTCGGTGCGGTGTTTGTTTACCTGAAGGCCTTTTACCAGGTCAAATTCAACCAAATTGGTGTCACCGAGAAAAGATCAAGCTTCGCTCCATTCGTGAGCGCCTTTCAAAAGGTGGCCCATAGATCTAATGGCAGGGACTCTAATCCCGAACTTGCTCTAACCACCGTGGGCCCATTCTCATCTGAAAGTGGAGGCATTGCTGGTGCCACGGTAAACACCCGCCGACGGACCGTGCTCATTGCAACCATGGAATACGATATCGAAGATTGGGCCATCAAGATCAAGATTGGTGGTCTGGGTGTGATGGCCCAGCTGATGGGGAAACATCTGAGCCAGCAGGACCTCATATGGGTGGTCCCTTGTGTTGGAGGAGTTGACTACCCCAAAGACGATCCCCGTGAGCCGATGGTAATCACCGTTCTTGGCAACAACTACCAAGTGGATGTCCAGTATCATCGGCTGCATAACATCACGTACGTCTTGTTAGACGCGCCTGTGTTCCGAGCTCAGTCCAAATCAGAGCCGTACCCTGCTCGCATGGATGACCTGGATTCGGCTATATTCTATTCTACTTGGAATCAATGTATTGCTGAAGCGGTCAGGAGATTCCCGGCTATTGACCTCTACCACATCAATGATTACCATGGTGCCGCTGCCCCTCTCTATCTTCTACCTCGCACGATTCCATGCTGCCTGTCTCTGCATAATGCTGAATTCCAAGGCATGTGGCCAATGCAAACTCAACTGCAAAGTCAAGAGGTTTGCAGTGTTTATAACCTCGACCATGCATTGGTGAAGAAGTATGTACAGTTCGGCGAGGTATTTAACCTTCTTCATGCAGCTGCCAACTATCTGAAAATCCACCAAAGCGGATTCGGCGCTGTGGGTGTCTCCAAGAAATACGGCAAGAGATCCTACGCCAGATATCCTATCTTCTGGGGCCTGAAGCACATTGGAGCACTGCCAAACCCCGATCCATCTGACATCGCCGAGTGGGTTCACAACGAAAACAACAACCTCGAAGATGTTATCATTGATAGGGAGTTTGAAGCCGGTCGTGCCACACTCAAGAGACAAGCGCAAGAATGGGCAGGACTCAAAGTTGACCCAGAGGCCCAGCTGTTTGTGTTTGTCGGTCGTTGGTCCATGCAAAAGGGCGTTGATCTGATTGCAGACATTTTCCCCTCCATTCTAGACGCTCACCCAAAGGTCCAGTTGATGTGCATTGGTCCAGTCATTGATCTATATGGAAGGTTTGCCGCGATGAAATTGAATCGACTCACAGAGCTCTACCCTGGGCGGGTCTATTCCAAACCAGAGTTCACCGCACTACCACCCTTCATTTTCAGTGGCGCTGAATTCGCCTTGATTCCTTCGCGTGATGAACCGTTCGGTCTGGTGGCCGTGGAATTCGGACGGAAAGGAGCGTTGGGCGTGGGATCACGGTAAGAGTGACCGGGCTTGAATCTACCACCAGTGCTAACCTATGTTTCTTTAGTGTTGGTGGCCTTGGGCAGATGCCAGGCTGGTGGTACACAATGTGAGTTTCTATCTTCTCTTGAGATATGTTCAGACTAACCCATTGTAGCGAGTCTATGACAACAAAACACCTTACCCAACAGTTCAAGATGGCCATCAACGACGCTCTGAAATCGTCCCAGGAGACACGAGCACTCATGCGTGCACGATCCGGCAAGCAGCGCTTCCCCGTAGCACAGTGGGTTGAGGGTCTGGAAATCCTACAAACCACCTCGATCGAAAAGCACGCCAAGTACTCTAAACGCCACGATCGCAGTTCATTGAGGGTTTCCTATGGCAGCAGCTTTGTCCCAGAAAGTGTTCGCAAAGTCTCGTCGAGCTCAAACAACAGCCGCGAACACAGCCGATCACGCAGCTCCACCGCGTCTGTCTCGCCGAGCAGGCCCATTACGGCTGAAATGAGACCGTCTGGACCTCGATCAGGCTCAGATCACGTTTTCTCGCCGACAAATCTGTCTTCCAGTCTAAACATGTCCGACAACGAGCCCGATTCTGACACCAACCCAAGACGCAGACCCTTGTCTTCCAACCCTCTCGCAGACTCGCGGATCGTTTACTCAACGGTAAACGATGGGGAATATTTCGAGCCCGTTTCTAGAGCCGTCCAAGAGGACAGCAGTGTCCGTCCATCGCCCTTTCCATCGCCATTTCCATCGCCATTTGGGACACCTACAGCCTATTTTGCTCAATCCGGTGCCAGCACTCCAGTTCACGGCACAGGATTGGAAGACGGTTTGCTGAGCCGAAGAGACGCAAGGGCGTCCATGATGAGTCTGGTCAGCGTCGACGATATAGTAAAGGAGAAGCAAGACTACAAGCTGCAGAAAGTTGATCCATTTTTCACGGATGCGAATAACGAGTACGCGGATAAGTTTGAGAAGAAGCTTGCTGATCTGAATGGCAAGAACTCCGAAGATCAGCTCTGCATCGAGGAGTTCCTCGAGAAGAGTGAAAAAGACTGGTTCAATCGATACCGCGACGTCAAACTGGGAAAGTCCCCCTTGCCGTCTCCTGCTCCCTCTGCTGCTCCCTCTGTCTTTCGCTTCATGGTTCATGAAACGGGTAGACCAGATACCCCGCCAATCCCTAGTCCAGGTGTAAACCCAAATGCCGGCCAATTCCTTCTTCCACATGACTACGTTCCCCCTACGGGTTTGAAGCGTTTCATGTTGATGAAGCTGGGTGATTGGCCTGTGTACTCCATCTTCCTCGCTATCGTGAGTTGTAACCCTACCCAAAACCTTCATTACAGCCGTTGACAGGATTCTTTTAGGGCCAAATTCTCGCCTTGAACTCGTACCAGATCACACTCCTGAACGGTGAGATTGGACAGACGGCGGAAAAGCTATACATTCTAGCATCCATCTATCTTGTCTCTTCGATCATATGGTGGCTGGTCTTCCGTCTAGTCCCCTCAATCTATGTGTTGACGATTCCTTTCTTTGTATGTTCACGCGCTCTACCTGGCTTACGAGGTTGCAAGCTAACTATCCGCAGATATACGGGTTAGCCTTTCTGTTTGTCGGTCTTGCCGGTCCCATCCACAGCGGCATTAGTCAAACATGGCTACAAAACGTGGGAACTGGCTTGTATTCGTTCGCATCTTCGAGTGGTTCGATTTTCTTCGCCCTCAATTTTGGAGATGAAGGTATGTAACAATCCTTTCAGGAAGTATGGAACTTATCTGACTTTCTTTTCCAGGTGGGGCGCCTCTGAAGTCTTGGATTTACAGAGCCACTGTTATCCAAGGCACTCAGCAACTGTTCATCAGTTTCCTTTGGTACTGGGGTAGTTGGATGGCATCTCTCAACCAAAAAGGTAGCACGCAATTTAGCCTTGCCATGACTGATCCAAACGCTTTGCTCGGGATCGGAGTTGGACTCGCCTGTCTTCTGTGGCTGTTGGGAGCCCTGGTCTTCTTTGGGCTTCCCGCATATTATAGACAAGCACCAGGTCAAGTGCCGACATTCTATCTATCGCTCTTCCGCCGTCGCATCATTCTTGTATGTCTCTTCCAGTTCCCCCTCAAGCTAATTTTGATTCTGACGCTGTGTCTTGCAGTGGTTTTTCTACATGGTGTTCATATCGAACTACTGGCTGTCGGCACCGTACGGACGAAACTGGCTCTATCTCTGGTCCAGCAAGCATGCATCCGTGTGGCAAGTCGTGCTCCTTGTCCTCTTCTTTTTCATCTTCGTCTGGGCGGCAGCTCTCTGGGTCTTCCACGTATTTTCCAAGAGACACGCCTGGTTCATTCCGATCTTTGCCGTCGGTCTTGGTGCTCCTCGATGGGCCCAGATCCTGTGGTCAACCTCCAACATAGCCACGTACATCCCCTGGGCCGGTGGTCCTGTAGCCGGAGCTCTTCTTGGTAGAGCACTCTGGCTCTGGCTAGGAGTTTTGGATTCCCTTCAGGGTGTCGGTAAGTTTCCTCCCACGACGAATGAAGCACAACACAAACTGACTCACGCCAATACAGGGTTTGGAATGATCCTCCTCCACACAATGACCCGATTCCATGTCACCTTCACACTTCTAGCCGCGCAGGTGGTCGGTTCCATAGCGACTATCCTCGCCCGCGCGACAGCTCCGGATAGGTTAGGCCCTGGTAATGTTTTCCCTGATTTCTCCGCTGGCGTCGCAGCCGGCTTGGGAAAGGCAGACTTCTGGGTCTGTCTGCTCTTCATGCTATCCATCAACGTGCTCTGCATCTTCTTCTATCGCAAGGAACAACTCTCGAAACCTTGAGTGCTATTCCAACCTTGGCTGGCGTTTTCTTTTCTTTTCCTTCTTCTGTTTTGCATGCACTTGACATTGTGCGGGGTAGGTATTGTGATTGGAGGATTAATTATACTATAGTGGGTTGCATTGACTAGGGCGCGATAGGCTTTGTAAAGGTCGCCCCATGTTTTGGATTTGTATATAGTGTATAAAAAGACTATTAATTTACAATTTCTATAGGTATCTAAACTTGATTTTCATGTTCTGGGACAGTACTTCGTATAGTCTACGCTAATATACCTACAACACAGTTAGGACTAGCTTGATTGGGAACTATATGCAAGGGTCCGTTTTAGGCCTAGTCAGGGGAACCCTGGAACGGATTATTCCTCTCTTCTAAAAAACAAGGGACTTATATATTCCAAGGTCATCATCATCTTTATTTGTTTTGCAAATTGCCTTCGTTATTCTTGCCACTCTTTTCAAGATAACACACTCATTCATTCTTTTAGTCCGTTCTTTTATCCCATTCTTTTATTCCTTTCTCTTATTCCATTCTTTTCGTGCTTTTACCAGTCTCTCGTTCTCATCCAATGTTTCGCTCTTTTTTCTCCTTCGTCGTGGCCCTCTGCCTGTACACGCAGTGGGCGGTCGCTGCGTTGACCTCGGGTGAAATTGCCAACTCTCTCAATGAACTAGCACAGCAAGGATTCGCCGCCAAGGCCCTCGTATTGGAAATCAATTCCACTGCGGACGCTGGTCCAATTCCGGTAAGTGCGCTTTTTTTCCGTCCTTGAATCACACAGCAGCTCATAATAAAATTCAGGATATCTATACTGAGATAGACACTATGGTCACTGTGATTCTAACAAATGTAAACTTTATGACGAACACGCCGATCATTGCCGGTCAGACAGAGCAGCAGGATGTCTATGAGGGATACTCAAATGTAGGTTGATGACAAAAAGAAGTCAATGAAACCTTCCAAGGTTCTAAGGTTGGAAGTCATTTATACTTACTTAATCACGGTAGTTCGTACAATCCCTCCTTGAGCTCATGGACGCCTTTTCCAGCAGCGCAGCCAAGCTGAAATCCATCAACCAAACAACCAAGACCAAAGTTCCCTCTGAAATCCGCATCTTGCAAAGTGCCGTTGACGTGAGTTTCCGAATTAGTTCTTTTCCTACAACCTAAGTAGATTGCCCATGAGATGCTGACACCCCACGAGGCCTACTTCTACAACATCATCGGTCTCTTCCCAGCCACAAGCTCGTACAACGCCCAGGCCAACAACCAGAAAGCCCAGGTGGATACGCATTGCTACCAGGCCGTCTGGGCATTTGATCTGGGTGATAGTAATGGTACTCAGGCTAGTTATCGAGCGCGCAACAACAGCTCCCTTCACTCTCGATGGATGAAGCGCGGTTCCTTCTGATTTTAGACCATGTCTATCATTGAATATCACCTGGTTTAATAGTTGGGTGGATGGCTACTGATAGACCTGGCAGATGGGCGGGTACTCCCTACCCATGGGCTGCTCATTTGGCCCATTTTGAACGCAAAAATTTCCCTGATGTCAGTATAAATTTATATTAATAATCTGAAAATATATTGCCCAGGTGTAATCTGAGGATTTATACGGAGTAGTCCTGTTCTAAAGGCTTGGTTCCCTGACCCATAGGGGTAGGGACACCGTAAAACGGTAGAAATAAGTAGGGATATGGTGGGGAAATAGGGGCTATAAGTACAGCTGAATTATTTTGAGTGAAGGGTCGATGGAGGATTTATAGTCAAGGAAGACTAAAAGTAGGATATGTTTTTTAGTAGACCCTATAGCGAGGCCTTGCTAAAGCCCATGGGTATTGCCTATTTCAGTTAGAGAATTACCTTAATAGGTTAGCGTGGGGGTCAAGGAAAAAGATTTCCAACCCTCCAACGAATTACACCACCCACAGGTAAAAAAATACCCATATGGCAAGGTCAAGATGCAAGTGGATTTTTAAGTAGTGGCCTAGTAAAGGTTATTACATGGGTTAGAAGTTGGAAGATATTTTGATAGGGTGAGTTGAGCGGATTGCGGGAAGTATCGTTAACGCTAAACAGCGATTCACGCGAGGTAAAGTTTAAAGACTGGCAGCTTTATATCTAATGTTGAGATAGAGCTGATGATAGTTGGCACATATTGCTCTCAATTCACACTTCTGCCATAAACCTTAGTGCCAATCGGTCTTGTTCCACTTATATATAATTCATATCTGCCAACACTGTCAGCATGTAGTGCGACCGACATCAGTGGTTTATTATCTGCCACATTTATATAAGCCACTTTAACAACCTTGGAAGTGTTCCGGAACTTTCCACGAGTCTCCCCGAGCTACGAGCCCGTTTAATATCACGGTGCAGGTCGAATGCAGCAACAGTGCATTAGGAGGAGTCGATGCGCTAATGATACTCGACGCTGCAATGATCATGTAGCTTGCCGTAAACAGAAGACATATAGCTTCCTTATCGACTGGCCTACATAGCCTGCACCTTATCTGCGATGGGGTATGATTGGGTGGTGGGATAGCAATTGATTTGGGGTATACATACGCAGTTGGGGTATGAAGGATGTAGATATCTGTGTTGGGGTAAACATATCTGCCAATAAAGACGCGGAGATAGATCTTTAGATCAATTTAATTAATCCGGTAGCCCGTATCTTGGCGCCGATAATCACCAACAGGTCTGTAATATTCCAAGGTTGATTTAGAGTAACGGTCATCTTGGAGATAAATAAGAAGAGCGATTGACCACAGAAGGTATACATAATCGACCGGGGCAGATACAATACACCGCAGTAAATTAATAAGATAAGTACCAAAGATTATGAGACGTGATAAACTTGCTAGTCCGATTAATTCAATATCATGGTATATACTGTTATATCTCAGATTAAATCTATTTACTTCTTCAACATCGCACCAGCCTCAGCGGGCATTAAGGCCCCAGGCGGAGGAGGGTTCTTATTCTTGAATTCGTCGCAAACCTGTTCCATCGTCACAAATTCAACACCCTCGTGTTTTTTGAAATGTTCAATAAGCCTATCGAACGTTAGTCATAGTCGCACAATATTATTATCACAGCCTACCTTTCATGCATCAGCAGCACATGCGGTCTCCCCGAAACATCCGGGTGGATAGTAATGGGGAAGATAAACTCATCATACTCGCGGTAGAAGTAGTCAAAATGGTCACGCCAAATATCTTCCACGTCGCGCGGGTTGACATAACCATGGCTGTTGGGCGCGTCCTTGATGAACATCATCGGCGGTAGGTCATCAATGTACCAGTTAGATGGGATTTCAACAAGCCCTGTTTCAGATCCATGCTCAAGAGGCTTCATCCACGTTTCGGCCTTTTGCTTGTAATCGATCTTAGTCCAGCTGTCGCCGGTTCGGAGGTAGTAAGCCTGGCAGTCCTCGTGGCTCATGCTGTGGTCATACTCGATGCCGTAGTCGAGGAGGAGCTGGGCTCCTTCCTTGCTAGTTTCCCACCTATTTGGAGTTGATTAGCACCATTGATAGATCATCAATTTAAGACAGTCGTACCAGGGCGCCACGCTTCCTCGAGGAGGCTTTCCAGCGAACTCGGTTAACATCCGATATGTTTTGTCGAGCACATCACGCTGCTGTTCTAGAGACATATCTGTCGGGTTCTCGTGGGAATATCCGTGGAGGCCGATCTCGTGACCCGCGTCCCGGACTGCGGCCATGTCCTTTGGGAAGGTCTCGAGGGAGTGGCCGGGGATGAACCAGGTTGTTTTAATGTCATATTTCTTGAATAGCTTCAACAATCGTTGGGTACCAACTGTGCCTGCCCAGTATCCTGAATGATAGTTAGAGGACAAGTTCCGAGAAAGAAAATACTGAGACCTACCCCTGCTGATATCGTTTGTGGAATCCTCTCCACCATATGAGCCTAGCCAGCCAGCTACAGCATCAACATCCACGCCATAGGTAATAAGAACTCGCTTTGGTGCCATTGTAGATGATGAATTATTTTAGATTCAATCTCGGGCAAATTGCGAGACGGTTGGCTTTTAAACACCGGCTGAATGCGGGGAAGGTGAGCCCCTCACCTGTTGAGGGTCGCCCACTGAGAGATAATTCCACATCACTCCCTGATTGACTGATTGAATGATTTATAAGATGATTTACATTTCTTTTTGCATATCTGATTAGAACATTCCTGTTATCTCTACCCTTGTGAACTCCAGCCACATTGCCGATATGTCTCCAACACAATTGGGGTTGTGTTGGGGTAGGCAGTCATTGTCTCCAGCGACCGGGGGCAATGTGACCCAGTTTAATGGACTCCAAGATGTATAGTGTTGGAGAATGACGATGGATCAGGAAAAGATTGCGACAATAATGGCGACTCCTCATAAACTGCGACATCCCCCAAGGAAGATACTATCCAGGGCATATCCAACGGTGTCACAGAGCGACCATGTCAGTTCTTTTCACAACTATTTCAGAGTAAGTATTTCAATATTCAGTGATTTTATCACAAACTGACAGTTGTTATAGGAGCAACCCCGTCAAGCCGGGCGATGCAGAAGCCCTCCTCAAACCACTCGGTCTGACCATCGATCCAGCCGAGGCGCAAGATTTCCACACCCTTCTCGCAGCAGTCCACGACTGCGCCGAAGGTGTAGCTGCATTAAGCGACTATCAACCAGTCCCCGATCAGACAAAGTATCCACGCGAGAATGTGCGCCGACCAAGTGAAACAGAACAGGTTTTCGGGCAAGCCTGGGCACACCGATTTCTCATCCGGGGTAATCCCCAAGGCGGCCCGCTGGCAGGTAAATCCGTCAGTCTGAAAGATGTTGTTGCGGTTGCGGGTGTGCCACAGCTTCTGGGAAGCGATATCATTCCTTCCTGGACACCGACTACGGATGCCACAGTTGTAACCCGATTGCTTGAGGCGGGCGCTGATATCCATGGGACATCGACGTGTGAAAATATGTGCCACTCTACTGCTTCGTATACTAGTGCTCAGGGTACCGTGGAGAATCCAAATGCTCCGGGATATTCGGCTGGCGGGAGTACCTCTGGCGGTGCAGCGCTGGTTGCGGCCGGTATGGTGGACATCACGATTGGGGGTGACCAGGGAGGCAGTATACGCGTTCCTGCTTCGTTTTGCGGATGTAAGATGCCTTTCTTGAGGGTGTATGTATCATGAACTAACTTGCCTTTAGGCGTTGGGCTTAAGCCAACTCATGGCCGTGTTCCATTCACTGGATTTGCCAGCGGTGACGCCGTGAATGACCACGCCGGTCCGCTAACCCGAACAACACTTGAGGCTGCAGCATGTCTAGATATTATCAGTGGATATGATGGCATCGATGATCGGGCTCTCGGTAGCTCGAAGCCAGGCTCTACCAAGTTCGCAGCGGATCTTCAGAATTCGAACACACTAGACGGCTTCAAGGTCGGCATTCTTGTTGAAGGATTTGACCACAGCGCGGTAGACCCACATGTCAAGGGTGCAGTGTTGACTGCCGCCCAGAAATTCAAGGATCTGGGCGCAACAATCGAAGAAGTATCTCTTCCTGAGCATCTACAAGGGCCCGCGATCTGGACAATTCAGCAGCGAATTGCCGGGGCGCAGACTCTTTTAGGCCACAACACAGGCCGGAGAGGGCTTTATATGAATGAGATGGAGCGCGCACGGCTTCCATGGACCGACGGTGGCTTCCAGAGAGCGTTTCCGTCCACAAAGAACGTTATCATTAACGGTCTATATCTAATGAAACAATTCCCTGATCTCTACGGCAAGACTGCCAATATCGGACGACTCCTCAGCGACAAGTACGAAGCGCTGTTTGAGAAGTATGATATCCTGGTAATGCCTACGACGCCGGTCGTTGCCCCTCGACATGGAAAGCGAGAACTCCCGCTGGATTCCCTCAAGCCTAGTATGGGTCTTACAATCAACACTGCCATCTTCAATGTGACGGGTCACCCGGCACTATCCATACCTATCGGTCTTGCTCCGGCAAAGGAAGATAACCAAGTCATGCTGCCTGTTGGGATGCAGATTGTTGGTGGATTGTGGCAGGAAGAGAAGGTCCTGCGGGCTGGGCATATCTGGGATACTAATTTTGACTGGAAGAAGATGCATTACTCTACGGATAAGAACTAGAACTTCATTTGCGTCTGTCGCATTCAAGCATTGGGATTGTGTTATCTATATCATGTCACATCAACTAGCTAGACCGTTATATATCCACCATCAACCACCATGGCATGGCCCTGTACAAACGATGCCTGTGTAGAACACAAGAAAAGAATGGCATCAGCCACCTCTGCCGGCTGACCCATCCTCTTCATTGGTGCCGTCTCCACTGCTGGCATGATGGCCTCACGGACCTCAGGCTTCTCCATTACCAGTGGCGTTTCAATAACGCCAGGGCAGACACAGTTGACTCGAATCCCATCTTTGGAATAATCGATCGCATCCGCACGTGTCATTCCAATAACTGCAGCCTTCGAGGCACAGTATGCAGCTATCACGAACTTAATAATGTGTTTCACGGATAGAAAGATATCACTTACGAGCACCTGGGCGGCTGACAATGCCAAGTTGACTGGAAACATTTACCACAGCACCACGCTGAGGTGGACGATTGGAATCATGGCTAGGGAGTCCACTTTGTATAACCATCTGCCTAAGCTCCGCGCGAGATGAGAGCCAGCAGCCTCGGTAGTTGATGTTATTGACGCGGTCGAATTCCTCAAGTGACATCTCTGCCGAGCGTAGAGGCTTGCCAAGAACACCTGCACAGTTTACAGCATAGTCCACTCGTCCAAATTCTTGTACAACTGCATTAATGAATGAATCTGCGAATTGGTCATCTGCCACGTTCCCGGCCTGAACCAGCAGTTGTACTTTAGGATATTTTGATGTGACGGCTTCTGCTGTTTGTTGTAAGGACTTTTCGTTGAGGTCTGTGATGGCGATTTTTGTGCACCCAGCTGCAGCGAATGCCCTTGCAGTTGCAGCGCCGATTCCTGCGTTATATGAGTGACGGATAATGATATTGCGGGAGCTAGCCCTACCAGTTCCACCTGCACCAGTGACTACCGCAACACCGGGAAACATATTGAGAAGTGGTTGGGTCATTTTGATATGATAAAATAAGCATAAATCAATCAGAATGATCCCAATATATCTGAATGTGAACAATGCCAGTTCTATACCTTCGGAGGTTTCTTCATCTCCAAATAGCCCCACCCTTATCGCTTATCGCGGGCCGAAAGTCCCGGCGGGCCCCGAGTTGGAGCAGTTGGGGTCGAACTTCCCACCTCGACATCCACTTGTTCAACCCGCAGGTCTCGTTTTCTCCAAACCAGTTCTCCATATCCCCCCAATGTTTCAATGTCCCCATCACCCCAGCCGCACAGGGGTGCTCGTGGAGCAAGGGCACGTATCTGTATACACTGCGGTCGGAGTTTCCGACGGACCGAGCATTTGGAGCGACACATTCGCACCCGTAAGCAATTTCCGGGGGAGATCCCTGCGGCTAATGCTAACCCGGTAAACTAGACACTAAAGAGAAGCCGTTTATCTGTTTCTGTGGGGCGGCCTTTACTAGAAGGGATCTATTGAAGCGTCACACACGCATCGCACATCAAGATGGGCTGACCTCGCCGACGCCGCCCGAGCCAACGGCGAAGGCGGATTTCCAGCCCACGCATCATCCTGCATCTATCCCACCGCAATATGATACATCAACTAGGCCCGTACCTGTGGAATCCCTTGCAGGATCATCAGCCGTGCACCAATGGGCTGGGGCACAGACCACGCCATATCTAGACCCTAATCACAACGCCGGCATGCTTCCTGCGGCTACTGCAGGAGCCCCAAACCCGGCCATTGACCCCCATACGGGTATGGTGCATGATGCGGATATGCTTCAAGCTGCCCAGCTGCTTCTTCCAGGCGATTACCGACCTACAGGTGCGTTTAACTTTGATAGTTACTCGAGCATATATTTCCACCCCCTTTTTTTTTGGAGATATATCGATCTGACACGAAAAAGGACAACCGATGCCCTACCTACCCGAAGATCTAAATCATTTCCAGGAATTCACACATTTCTTGGATTCGATTGGCTTGCCGGGGGAATGGGTTCCCAGCGAAGGCGAAACATCTCAGACACAAGAGGTTAACCTGGAAGACGCAAGAGAGACGGGTCGACAGACCCACGAGCACCATGAGCGGCCACGACGAAGTGGAGATGGTTCTCGAGGAGACTCACCATTCAGATCGTGGCTCCCATCTGTACCGAGGGGGGACCAAAGCCTAGGAACCCTGTCCGATTCTGGTACATAGCACCTTATATTGTTACAATCTCTAGACTACTGACAAAATTCTAGAACCTCCCCAAAATGCGAAGAGGATATCACGATTCAATGTCACCGAAGACCAGCGGTTTCGGCTGGCGGCATCTCTCGAAGAATTTCGCAATGTCATTCCGGATTTCGCACTACCGTCTCGTCACACATTGACACGGTATCTTACTTCCTACTTTGAAGGATTCCACCCTCATCTTCCATTTATGCATATCCCAACTTTTCATATCAATGAACGTGCCCCTGAGGTGGTTCTTGCTATCATGACGATCGGAGCTCAATATAGATTTGAGCATCGCAACGCAGAAAGAATATTCCACGTTTCCAAGGCGGTTCTATTTGAACGGATGTCCAGAGAGCCCCGTTTCCCAGCCAAGCCAAATTACAACGCTGGCTCTCAAATACCACTGGGGATATCTCCTTACTCCAACTTTGGCGATCAATCCCTCACCCAACCACAAGTTACAGCAGAAAGAACTGCAGTTTGGAAGCAGACTGAAATCACTCGCTGTCTCCTTATTCTGATGGGCTACTCCACGTGGGAAAGCGCCAGACTGGTACAAGAAGCATTCCATCTTCAGGGCTTATTGGTTCGACATCTCCGTGAGGCTGGCTTGACAGAAGATACAACCCGCTCTGACCCACGCGCACCCCTCGACTGGTACGAATGGGCGGATCAAGAATCCGGGCGACGCACAAAGTTGATTGCTTTCTGCTTTATCCATGTTCACAGCGTCGCATATAATGCCTATCCATCTTTGCGCAGCAATGAGATACACCTGCGTCTTCCATGTTCTACCATCGAATGGGCCGCTAGCACCGCTGCTGAATGGGAAGCAGCCCAGCGAGAACGAGGCCCCCAGCAGTTGTTCTTCCAAGATGCATTGACCCTGCTCTTGCAAAAGTCCCGATCAGCCAAACCGCTAGACCCCATCCCAGCTCCACTGGGTAACTACATCCTCTTGCACGGACTCCTACAACGAATCCACCTCGTGAGCGAGCTATCTTTACCGAACGGCAACCACTCCACAACCTTCCCAACAGAGGAATTGAATAAACTAGAGTAAGTCCACCACCCATAGATCCCCTCCAAAACCCGCCTCTAACCATCGAATCCGTAGACGAGCTCTCCGCTCCTGGACCTCCGTGTGGCAACAAGCCCCAGAATCCAGTCTAGACCCGCACAACGAAAACGGACCAATCCCATTCACCTCCAGTGCCTTCTTGGGACTCGCTTACGTCCGCCTATCTCTAAATCTCGGACCTCATCGCCGCCTGGAGACCCGTGACCCGATAATAATAGCCAACGCACTCCGCCGCTCTCCACGCCCAGAACGCAGCTACCGTCTCATCCCAGCACTCATCTACGCCGCTCATGCCCTCAGCATACCTGTGCGTCTGGGCATAGACCACATTGCTCGCAGTCAAGCGTTCTTCTGGAGCGTGCGGCACTCACTAGCTAGTATGGAATGTGCAGTGTTGCTCAGTAAATGGCTGTTTACCATTGCCGAGGCGGGACCAGATCAGTTGTTGAGTGGTATGTTCATCCCCAAGTTTTGTCTGCTGCATGTATGATTTGTTGGCTAATAATTATGATGCAGAAAATGAAGCTCGCATTCTACGCTGGACCCGCTGTATCGTCGAAGAGGCGTATTCGTCCATTGATACGGATGACGGCGAGGCGCCGCCGGATCTGGAACCAGCTTCTTTGGGATTAGCTGTCCTCAAGCTGTGGGCTAGGTTGTTTGGAACAAATACTCAGTGGCCGTTTATTAACGTGCTTGGACAGAGCTTGGAAGAGTATATAACTATGATTTGATGTTGATATTATGGTTTCGGCGTTTGTACATATTGAGGCTTGCTGGAATATAATGTGTTTATGATTGCACCGAATTTTCATTTAAACGATAGCTGTATATTGTGTCTTGAGCGTGTTAGCGGCTGAAATGAACGAGGGGGTGCTATCGAAGAGATTGTGGTCATATTGTCCAGAGGAACAACCAACTATTGCGGCACAGGGACATTTGCACTTTTCAGTGCTTCTATGAGCATATACGACCTAATTGGGAGTAGAACATGAACAACTGCGTTGAATTGCAGCTAGTAACAACTCAAAAGCATTTCTTTATTGATGTATGCTTTTTAATATGACACGACGTCCTCTTTTTGTGCTTTTCTATTTTCCCTTTCTGTCAATTCAGCGCTCATCACCGAATCCCCGTATCCTCTTTCCTCCTGTTCTCATTCTCATCCTCATTAAACAGTTCCGCGACTTATCTTCCCCTCGCCGAAAAGTCTGACAAAAGCAAAAACCGCAGCAAAGTGATATCTGCCACCGATCTAGGACAGCTCAATCAACTGCCCCTCCGCGGGAGGGGTCACATCTTCCATGACACTAGGAGTGAGCGACATGTAAGCTAGACTAGAACTGCTGGCCAAATTATCGTTATCATGAACCGCGGCAGGAAGTTGGTTTTTCTCTGGACTAACACCCTCGGCTCGAGAGTGATCATCTTGGTCGAAGGTCATGAGGTCTTTCTCAGGCGAGATGGGAAGCATGTCTTGCAATTCAATCATAGTTTCAGCCAGGACATCACCAGCCCCGTCATAAGTAAGCATGTCTTCCATAGCTGGGGCAGTAGGCTGGCTTTCCTCTGTACCTGGAACTGCGGCTGGAAGATTATCGTTGTCGTCGAAGTCGATCAGGATTCCTTCTACCGGAGCAGCCACGCCCTGTTTGACCGGTGTCGCATCTTTCTGGGGAAGTTTCCCTCCAACCGTGAGCCCAGCTCGACGATAATCATCCAACTCAGCTCCACCCTGCGCAAACTCCTGCCATCGGCGCACACCCTCGGCACGCCGCGCTGCATTGTCGTCTGCGGTGGAGGTAGGAGCGCGGGTTAGGGCTCGGGGTCGGGGTATGGGACCCACCCTTTCGTCGCGATCATCATCATCGCGATCAAAGTCATCCCAATCGGATCCGGCATCAAAGACCTGAGTTTTGCTGTCCTTGCCCATACCACAGAAGCAATCATGAGTGTGCGGTGGAGAGCACACGCAAATGCAGGGTGTGTTGCAGCACTCGCGAATTTCACGGCAGCGCTGTTTGCAAGAGACCCAGTCATGTTCAGAACTAATCTCGCAAGATATTAGTATTTGAATACATATAAACTGTCATTATTCTTGAAACTTACCCGTGGCATTTGCGGGGACATGGATGTCCACATGGTAAATCTTTGCCACAAGGCTTGTTACAACCGTCGGTGATAGCGTTCCAGTCCTTGAGATCTAGAAGAAGCAATTAGATATTCTCTTTTTTCTGTGGTATTGTCAGTTATTATAGGGACTCACTTTCAATGAGGGTTTCTTGGTTGTGTCTTGCACAATACAGAGGCAGAGCCCGGCCGATGCGAAGGTCTTGGTGGTTCTCGGACATCACATTGGTAACTGCATACCAGAAATCACTATGTTTGCTGACACATTGTGCGTTTCCAAATATGTAAAGACCGTATTTAGCGCGGGACAAGGCAACACAGACTCTGTTGTCTTGTGCGAGAAAGCCGATACCTCGATGATCATTCGATCGAACAAGCGACAGAAGGACAATATCGTTCTCTTCTCCTTGGTATGAGTCGACGGTCAGTATATTCACATATTCTTTGGAGACATTTTGATTCTGTGACTTCTTTCGCATGATCAACTTGCGTTGACCGTTGTAGAACGTCAGGACCGTGATACTTGCTGGCGGGACTTTGTTCATTACAAGGTAGGCAAGGAGATTAACCACCATAGATGCCTCAAAGTCATTTACCTTGGACAGCAGACTGTCGTTGCTTTCATGCGCAGTGTGGTCGAAGAAAAAGGATCGTTTATCTCCCATACCAGGAACCAAAGGGTGATCCTCAACAGACGGATGGTCACGAAGAAGATCCCCATACATGGGGGCCACGAGCTTTCTGATTTCTGGGACCATTCGCCTTTGCTCTTGAAGCATGGCGTATGGCATTTTATTCTTTATTAGGCGTTCAAACATAGAGACGTCAAGGTTGAAAGGATCCCCGCAGAGATCATAGCCGGCACATTGACCCCTGAGCTGCTGGTGATCACCAACAAGAATAAGATGCTGAAGTGATGGAAGGCAAGAAACTGCAACTGGGGCCTCAAGTACTTCTGCTGCCTCTTCAATCAAGATGACCCGGGGATGCAAACTTGAGACTAGTCCTCTGTATTTGCTCAGACCAGTGGTAGTCATACCGATGATCTTTGCCTCTTGGAGAATACAGTAGTCCCGTTCAAATCTACCAATTTGAAAATTAGCAGAGCAATCTTGGTAAGTTTGAGCAAGGCGTTGCACATGTTCTCCCAGAATAGCGATCAGCTGTTGACGCAGGTAGTCATAAATGGCACCGCGATATCTCTTGTGAATCTTGTAAAAGTCTTTCTCTTTCAGCAAGTTTTCAACCGTTGCCCGAGAGATTCTGGCGGTGTTGGAGCTACAAAGACCAGGCGACAATGGGGAAAAGCGTGTTCTGAAAGACGACCAGTCATCCTCATATCTTCCGTGTTCGACTTCAATCTCCTTGAGTTGCTCATACTCCAGGTCAATATCATCATCAATGAACCCGAAGTCACCAGCGTATTCGGAGTCAAACTCTCTCACAGAGTCTGCAAGCCAAGCGGCCAAAGGATCGGCATTTGCGGGGGTGTTGAATTGCTGCCATTTATTTGCAGTCTCTTGCAAGGAGTCAACCTGATCTTGGCTTAAAAGACCATGCTCCAAAAATAGAGATGCTGCAAGAGGCTTGCTGTTACCTGATGGTGCAAGTGGTTTTAGGAGCTTATCAAGCTCGGCCGCGATTTTGTTCTGTTTCTTTCTCATTGGAGTCATCAAACCTCCCTCAATTGTCAATAGGCCCTGGTTTTGTCTGATCTCATAAGGTGTGCGCTTGCGGATTTCAGGATCGGAAGTCCTTCCACCTAGCCGGACATAGTTCTTCTCGAAAACCGAGATATGCTTGATCAGTTGATCGAGAGCATGGTTAGTCTGAGCAGTAATGATTATCGGTGGATCCATTGGCCCTTTGTTTGAGAGCATCATTCTCAGAGCAGCGATAGAGGTAAAGGTCTTGCCTGTTCCAGGAGGGCCCTGAATGATAGCCAGCTTTTTAGTCAACATTCGATTCAGAGCTGACCATTGGGATATATCTAGTTTTCCCATTGGCTGTGATGGCCATCGCTCGATGATGTCATACTTTCCGGTGATATCGAGTGCAGAGGATTCAGACAACGGTGTGAAGTCCATGCACGGCGCGGTGTTAATGTATCCCGGTGGATCAATGTCGCTTACCAAACTGCAGATTTGTTCGTTCAATGGAAAACTAGATAGTGTTAGGTAATCCTTCCAACAGAAGTAGTACTGGTTTCGCGCCTGACCTTTCCTTTGACAGCTTTTGCAGTGCTGTCAAGGTATGTCGATTTGCCTCGAAATATCCCGCTCGAGCCTCAACCATGACCCATTCTTGCCTAGTGAGATATGATAGTCAGTATGATTATTATATCTTGCAAATTCACACACCCATGATATTACGTACTGTGGGTCAACCTCAATATCGTCAGGCGAGGCCAAAAATAGATCAACCTCGGGAGGGTCTTTCTCAACCCCTTCCAGCAGCCGACAAGCCACGACGGCGACGACACATTTGCTCGAGAATGCGTTGTTCTTGGGGGATAGGGCAACAACTGCCCCAGGATTAAGCCGGTTAGAGTATGTCCAGGCAATGTTTTTGCCCGCGCGGCGAGTAGAGAATTGGATGTGCAACGCCAAACCCGCGCGGGCTAGGGTAACACCGACAACGAAGACCTTTCATATAAGAAATGATGTTGATTAGAACTTGTAACTGCCAACTCCGAGAGAGTCCAATGGATTAGCAGCACTCACCTTCTCATAAATAGAAATATCCGGAGTATCTTTCATGAAAGGATCAGCGCGAACCCGGGCCACAGCATTTCGAAGTGGTGCAACTGAGTCTTCTCGGATCAATGCATAATGGGCCTCTAGGTATTCCTCTTTAGAAACCCAGGGTCCTGAAATGCAATTGGGGGCAAGAGCGACGACGTCTCCCGGTATATCTGTCCCGAGGATCTCTTCGGTCGAAGGAAGTTCTGGCTTGGTTTGCCAAAGTTTCCAAGGGCCGTAGATTGGTAGATCCGAGTTGAAGTATTGGCGAATTTCCGGATTAGCAGGCTTGACCTGCTCCTTGGGCCGGTGCCCATATTGAAAGCGAAAATGCGACATGATTGTCTAAATTATGTGCTGGATTAGCCTATATATATTCCAGTAGATCTTCTATCGACCTCACCAAGACACTTCCCAACACTCGATGGCCCCACCGCTAGATGTATTTTATCCTTGAAACGTCACCTGCCGTATGTTTTTGAAGAGTGAGTGTTTACGAATGAGCTGGATTTGTCGTGGAAAGCGGAAAGTGCGTGGGAAAGGAAAAGGCGTGCAAGAAAGGGAAGTGGCTTAAAGTTTCGAAGTCAAATCCAGTGGAGAGCATGTGTCATGTGGATGAGGTCAGAGGAGTTTAGACATGAGGTGATAAAGTTGCATATGCAAATGATTGATGTACTAGTGAGAAGCGAGTGAAGTCGTCTGGAAGGAAGGATGTTGAGGAAGGACAGAAGACAGCAAATCAATGTCTAACAAATGTTTGCTATACATCTGATATATTGTGTACTCTGTATTCCATTACCTACTATATAATACTTACTATAGTCTTATAAAAGTAATAGCTCTCGAGTATTGCATTCCAAGAAATATATTTACCATCAATGGATGTGTAGCTAATGAGGCTCAACATTCCTTTTAAGATCACGTTGGCCACAAAACATACATCGCCAAACTTCCACGTGCTAAATGCTTTATATTAAGAATATCACATCTTAACATAACTAAGTCCTACCACAGATGCATACATGATAGTATCCTCCTAGGAAACCTGTCAATTATTCTCATTCTTGAGTAGAGGTAGGTCTTCAAGCTCATCCTTGCTCTTCAATAAATTAGTTTCACAGAGATATAGTGAAACATCACTCTATTGTGTATGACAATGTGTATATAATGGATATAATGGATAAAAGACCTGATGTTATAGATTCGTATGTAGTAGTAGTATACAGCTTAGGGGCCCTTGACGCTGATTGGTCCGCCAAGCATCGGATCCATTCCCAGATCGGTCCATTTTAAGCCGCGGCGTAACGCGCGACTCTCTCCTTTGAACTCCAGAGCTGGAGCATAATTCCGATCTCGCTGTCATTCGCCTTATTTATTCCCGTTGGCGTCGGAGCTGTTTGTTTGAAAACTCCCAACCCCCTGCTTCAATTGCGGCGCGCAAACGGTAGCTACCCCACACGGAGTGTCACGAGAAGCCCCGGTAATCATGGCTTCATTGGAGGAAGAAGAGGACCGTGACATGGGAGGTATGACAATTCTTTGTTCCAATGGCCTGCCGATTGATCTCAACATTGCTAACCACCCCCGCGATTCCCTAGGCTCCCAGGACGGAAGCTCCGATAACGAGAACGACAACGACAACGATATGGACGACACAATGCGCGACGTCGATGATGGCGAGGGCGACAATGACAACGAAAATGAAAATGATCAAGACGGCGATGGTGATCAAGACCCTGATAGCCCTTCAAATGCGAGCCAGGCGTCAGAGGGCCCTGGCATGCAACAAAACACGAATGGCAATGGCAACAACATCGTGTTTGAACCGTTCTCCATTTACCACCCAAGTGTGCGCCCTGAATGCCTCACTGCCCGGACCTACGATGTGGTCCCAACCACCGCCGCGCCGCATGCCACCTCGATCAATGCTATTACAGCGACAGCGGATATGCGTTGGGTTTTCACCGGTGGATCTGATGGATTCGTGCGAAAGTTCAACTGGGCGGACTCAATCAACAGCAAACTCATGTTGACCGTTGCGCAAAGGCACCCCTTCGTTGATAGTGTGGTCAAAGCTGGAGTCCTGATGACATACTGGGAGAACATGGATGGCAGCCACTTATCACCAGTGTACTCTTTGGCTAGCCATAGCGAAGGATTGTGGCTTCTTACTGGGTTAGAATCCGGGGCGATTCGTCTGCAAACTCTGCGCCACGAAGAGGGCAAGGAAATTGCGCTTCTGCGACAACATACCTCGGCAGTGTCCTCCCTGAACCTTACGTCAGATGAAGAATCACTGCTATCCGGAGGCTGGGATAAACGGGTCTTTGACTGGGATCTGAACACCGGTCAAGCTAGACGAGCTTTCGGTGGCAGCGGCGGACAAATATCTGCTGTGCAGATTCGGCCAGAGTCTAGCCTTCCAGTCCCCAGCGACACAATCGATCCACAGCAGACCAATGGCACATATGCATCAAACTATGCTGCACCTGGCACAGACAACTTCAACTACATGGATACCTCACACGACAACGGAGACGTAGCCCCGACCGAGAACCCGCAGGCGGGCTCCCCGGCAGACTCGCTCTTTGGCGGAGCAGACTCATTATTCGGTGACGGGGATGGTGGAGCTGCTGACGGTGGTGAGCCATCCGGTGGGGTATTTGGGGTAGATGAGGATGACGAGTTTGGCCGCGCTGTAGCCAATGGAGCTATGCCGGATGCCGACGCACCAGGAGAAGTTGATGATGAAATGCCCGCCGAACCAGATGCGGAACATGCACAAAGCACGCACAATGCATTGTCTAAGCAAGCAAATACTCATACTGATGAACCCGACCAGAACACGGAAATGAACGATGCGGATATCTCAGGTGGCCTAGTGCAGCCGGTTGTCAATGGACTCCCTAAAGCAGAGGATCTCGAGACACCTCCACCAGCCCCAGACTTCTCACAAAATACCCAACAAGAGCAAGGTGTGACGAGTGATAATACGTTCTTGGCCGCCTCAATGGATGGAGCAATCCGAGTTTGGGACCGGCGACAGCTTGATCCTGTCGCCCGCATCACCCCCTATAATTCTCCTCCATGGTGTATGAATGCTTGTTGGTCCCCCGATGGAAATTACATATATGCCGGACGCCGAAATGGCACTGTCGAAGAATATAGTCTGCATAAGGGGTTGAGAAATCCCGAACGAACGTTCAAATTCCCACAGGGGAGTGGGCCGGTGACAGCACTGAAGGCTATGCCAAATGGCCGTCATCTTGTTTGGTGAGTAAAGCGCTATCGTGCAACGCAGCATTCTTTTTCTAATCTTTCTCATGTACAGTGCCTCTCACGATATCCTCCGTCTCTATGATCTGCAAAACGTGCAAGCCGACCAGTCTTCTCGCCATTCCCCAGTTCCGTTCCTGATCATTCCGGGTCATCGGACCGGAACTATCTCTCAGCTATATGTCGACAATGCATGCCGTTACATGATCTCCACCAGCGGTAACCGGGGCTGGGAAGGAAACACCACCGAAGTCCTCCTTGGTTACGAGATCGGTGTGCCGCAATAGGAAAAGCTATGAATGGCGGACATGTAAAAGCATAATGACCATAGTGACACATAATGAATGAATATCATGACTTGGAATCTAAAGGTGTGAGAAATTTGCACGATTGAACTGTAACGGACAGTAAAGATTCGCAGCCAAGGAGCCCAACTCTGAAATTGAAATTGAAATAGTTGCAATGTAAATTTACCTTACATGGATGCATATCACAGACACCAACGCCATTTCCCCTCCGTATTTACAACATGCACAAGACCATGTCACTTAAAAATTGAAAGCTCATTGCTCATGATGAATGACTTCGTCCAAGTCCAATCCCTCACAAACTTCAGCTTGCTGGGATCGCCAGGTCCCAAAATGGGGATTGTTAGCCCACTTAACATGTCCATCACGATCGCTATCGAAATAGACATAGCCAGGCTGATCGGCATCTGGCGATTTGGCTGCTTTGGTAGCTCCCCGGGGCCCAACCACAAGGCTACCAAAACCAGGCAATGCAACATTGGGAACATGAGTCCTTGCCTCAATATTCCCATTTTCGATATTATTGACAGTAATAAGATAGACAGGCGGAAGATCTGCTTCGCGGTTTGCACGAAGCGGCATAGGAATCCACGCCTCATTGTTGTAGGACTCTGGGCGGTCCTTGTCGTGGCGGAGGGGCAGTGGCCGATCCAAGAGCATATCATCCAGTTTGCCTGTGTCTAATAGTATACCAGGTGTTTGAACATAGAGAACACTGTCATACTGCATAAACTGGATTTGGCCCAGGTGGAGCAGCTTGGTGTTTGTTGTTGAGTATCCTGCAGCTGTGGCTGCTGACATGTCGATCGGGAGGAGCCAGATATTATATTTGGCACTGGCAGCGCGTAATAATGATAATGCTTTGGTGGCAGATGCGCCCAATTTTTGGGCTGACATTCGGTCCCATTGCTCTGGGTACACGAAGAGCCGGTCCTGGACGGCTGTTCCATTTGTGGAGAGTTGTTTGAAGAACAGGATTGCGGAGCAGATATCTGATGGGTCTGGTTCAGATAACATTTGGAGATAGGCATAGTTTCCAGATGAGTCGTAGTTTATTTGACTCCCAATGATTGGTATATCTTCATCAGCCCCATACCCCGTGTCCGATACACCTCGTTTTAGTGGCTTTTGGAATGCGGGGCCCGATCTATGTCTTGCCTTTTGTGCAGCTTCCTGGGGTTTCAAAGCATGTTGAATGTTCTTCACAGATTGCTGCTGCAGGACATATCCAGAGAGAAATAATAGTGCAGTAAATATGCAGATCACTCCCATCGACACAATGGCCGAAACTGTAGAGGACGTTAAAAGAACCATGGCCACAAGGGAGGCTGCATAGGTCGGATAATGAGAGTGTGATGAGACAAAATTGAAATTTCAGACATGCATAGCCCCTTGGACGAGGTTCAAGATATAACCACTTTGGACTATTAATCTCCAAGCATGTCTTTTTGTTAGGCTCGTTTCATGACATCAGGTTGTTTACGTTGTCCACGCGACTATCGATAAGCAGTCTTGGCGGTATCGCTTCAAAGCAGGTTGTTGACCAGGATGGTTATTTTTAGTCGGGCATTGATCATCGGCCATTTGGATGGGTAATAATTATATGAGATTCCTGTTGGTAATTCAAATACAAATCAATGATCTAGCAATGCATGCTGAGAAGACAGCCCTATATATATACCTTTTCGTCAAACAACAACCGCGATAAAGGCGGTGATGAAGGCGGTAACCCCAAATCCGCATTATCGCGATGGTCTCAAAAAAACTGCCGTAGTCCTTTTTCGCTTCGCTTTGATGCCTTGGCACTTCCGCATCTGCCCTCACTCTCAAAATGGCAGCTCATCGCGCCGATGCCAGCTCGTTCCTCGATAACCGTGGCTACAAGGGCCCCCTCGTCCGTGGCGTCAACCCCGCTACACTCTTCGAGAAAGCCGTGCGCGACCGCATCACCGACTCATACTACTGGAAGGAACAGTGCTTCGGTTTGAACGCAGCGACTCTGTGTGATCGCGCAGTCGAATTGACCTCCATTGGTGGAACATACGGTGTATCTGAGAAACCAACCCCCTTCCTTTGCCTTGCATTCAAGCTCCTCCAGCTCGGGCCTGACCGAGACGTCATCCTCGAACTACTCAATTACACCGACCCCGGCAGTGGCGACGAGGCAGAAAATCCAGATGATTCCCTTGTCAAGGATCGAGGCGACTTCAAATACCTCCGCGCTCTTGCGGCCTTCTACGTGCGATTGACCTTCGACTCGGTCGATGTCTACAAAACCCTGGAACCACTACTTCTCGATTACCGAAAACTGAAGCGACGGGTGCGCGACTCTTTCACGCTTACATATATGGATCAGTTCGTCGATGATCTTCTCACAAAAGACCGTGTCTGTGGTACCAGTCTCTGGAAGCTGCCGCCGCGATCACAACTGGAGGACTTGGATTTGCTAGATGAGCGAATCAGTCCGTGTGAGCCAGAAGACTGATGAGTCCAATATGATTTTCAGCACACAAAAACATAAATCCGGAGAAGGGGTAGAGGCTACCACAGAAGACAAGACTAACACGTCGGGTTATAGTGAGTTTTGTCTAAGTGGTCAGTGCTGCGCACTGTACACGGGTGCCTCCCCCATAATCAAATAGTCATCTGCCGCCAAGCCTCGGGACATTTTTACCCTTTTGGGTAACAGAAGGGCTTCCAATTCGGTATACTTGTTCCCAGTTCTTATCTCTTCTTGTTTGAGTACAGAATCAATCCATTCAAGATCTTGATTCTTGGGTTTTATCCATGTTAAGCAGCGTAGGGAATTAATTGACAGCTAAACCTCCTCCGAATAATGGCAAACCACACGTCTCTAGTATATATTGATAGGTCGTAAACTCGACCTGCGTAATTGATCTACATGCAACTTGTCTACTTGCGGGCTATATGTACATGGTAGAACATATGATAAGGCCACCTGGAAAGAGTAGCATGATACGCATGCACTCGCTTCCAATAACCCGCGTGTGACGTCGATACAGCAGAAACCAGCATAGACCGGTATTTCCACTCCCAACACGGCAAATCCAATCGAGCCAGACGACCAAAGCAGATATCCGACGCGCACCTCTTGTCACTCTGAACGGATGCGAATTTCACCCCCGCTTCGGACATCCCTCATCCAAGTGCAACAATATCCGAACATACTTTGCCCAATGTTAGCCCGGAGAGTACTTATTCGCCATAGTCCCCGTCCATCTATAGATCGGTACTTACTTTTGCGAAGCCTGCCCTCTGCAACTGTATAAACGGCGTATATTCAATCACCATCCACGTCCGGTTGCTTCAACTGGTATGGATTGAGCCGCTATGGACCTCTTGTCGATCCTGGAGAATCTCTGGCGGATTGGACTCATCCTACTAGCTGCCACTGGAGTCTACGCTGCTATTAATCGGACATTTGGCAGATCTCTCTTGGCTAAAGTAACGCTGCGAGGTCGAAAACATTCAACCGCCCGAACACCACCACGGTCCTTCTCCCCAGACAAGAAAGCTACAACAAGCCCAACTGCCCCATCTAGCTACGACAATGTTCTCCCACCCCAACGCAGACATATCCTAGAAGATCTTAATTGTGATTCCGCACCCGGACGCGACGTGCACGAAGATGAAGTGCGTCGGAATATTCTACCCATGAGCGCCGACTATAGAATCAGCCCGTGCGACAAGTACACACCGATGGGCTTCTCGGTGGCAGAGGTCAAAGGACTTGGAGACTTTCCAGACTATGCGACTCTAAGTGGAGTTCCACTTCCCAGCCCATACCCCGAGTTCAATATCGAGAAGGCACTGCCTCGGCCGTATCGTCCATTCAGGTGGTCATATCACCAAACGATGTGTACGTTCCATATAAAGCCCGAAAATCATGATCTAAAACTGATCTCCTGCCTCCTTTAAAAACAGCCTTGACCAAGCTCGAACCAGACTGGTGGGTCGAGCTCGAAAACACATACAAGAGCCGCATTGCCCAGCGCAAAGAACTTTATGCTAAAAATGGCAAGGAAGTCCTCGATGCTATGCCAGGCTCCGAGCTTGCATGCAAGGAGTTAATGGAGATGGTCTTGCAATTTATCTGCGCCCGATACCCCCAGTACTTCACGCTGGTTGACAAGCGTGTTCTACAGAACAAGATCCTCGGTACCGAGCAGGACGTCACAGCTAAGCCCCCTCTCGAGATCCTTATGGACAATGTACCAGAGGATTTTGCAATCATGCTTCGTGACGAGACGACGGGATTCTATTTCCTGCGTGCAGCGGTGGTCTGCTCGGCGCTAGGGTGGAATGTCGCGTCGAAAGTTGGGAAACAACTACATGAGATTCATGAAACGATTCCGGATTACAAGGAGAAGATGCAGTTTTCGATGGATCGGTATGTTGGTGGTTTCCCGGGGGATTCAATATTATCGAAGTGCTGACGTGCGAGTTTGGTTTAGATTTTTCACCAAGATGCCAACTGAGAAGCCAATCCAGAGAGGCTCTTGGGGCCTGGAAATTGGACAGCCATTGTACATGCCACCCGGGGACCCCCATGAATTACAACGGCTATCTCAGCGGGCTGATTTGACCATTGATGAGTGTCACCTGCGGGTGGACTGGCAGACTCTCAGACGCCTACCTTTGTCGGGTGCGGTTATTTTCAATTTCAAGGGGCTTTTTACTTCAGTCGCGGAATTTCGCGATGAACCTGGCGTACCGGGTTTGCTGGTTAAACTTCTTACAGAGGGAAAGAAGAACCTCATGGATTACAAGGGTGTTTGGCATGTTCAGCATGTTGTACTTCCCAAGTTGAAGGAATGGTCTGAGGAGCAGAAGGAGAATGGGTCAGTCCCGAAAGATTGGGAAGTATCTACTCTGGATGACAGTCCATGGTTCAAGGGTTGGCAAGAGAAGTGGCATCGGCAGCAGGGATTCTAGGCAGTTGATATGTGATTGTTCGCTAGTATTATTTCTTTGATTGAAACATAAACAATCAATACGATGTTGATGCTGTATTTTGTACTTCCCAGATGTTGGCCGATATTAAATCAATGAATACGTCAGTCAAGACCAGGCTGTTGATTTTCAGATAACTGGCCAGATTTTCTGCAGCAATCTCTTTGGGCGAAATTGTTTTTCCTCCTGCAATCTTTATTTGGTTATTATTATCATTGGTATATTCAAGAGCGCGCACGATGTTGCTACAAGAATATCTAATATTCCTTACATTGCTCTCACTTGCTCTCTTATCTACCAACCAATCCTTCGGTATATCTACCTAGGCAACTTTAAGACCTACTACTACGCGAGCCTCTCTATTGCCAGAGAAAAAACTGTTATTAATTTCCATAATAAGCAGCTTTGTTCTGTTCACAGCTTTGCTACTTGGGGGGTGTCTTTTTATTGAGATTTACCAGCGCAACAAGACCTGTCATCTCCTACCAACGGTTTCGAACTGAACTTCAAGCACCCCGACATGTTTTACAGCCAATTTACATCTTGGATCCCTCCCTCATAGGCCGTGTAGCCCAGGAATTCGGTGAAGAGCGGCGACATTTCTGTTCCCAAGCTAAGAGGTACCTGATCAAAGGAGGGCAAAGCGAATGACACAGGAGAAAATCACAAAATTCAAACATAGGGCATGAAAGAATAACTATTTTCAATGGGAAAACTACAAACCACCCCAAAATATTTCAGTATGTAACAAAGAGACTGTATTTTCTGTTTCATCGCCTCATAAAATCCCTTCGGAAAAAAAAAAAAAAGAAAAGAAAAATTAGTTCTGAGGTTCACCTTGTGTAGTTGTCGGTATTCGCACTTTTTAATGGTAACTCGGCGAGCGGCCATTCCATTACTATTGTACAGAACTTGCAGGAATCTGCGATTGCCGTGGCCAATGAAGCCATTCTTCCCACTCGGGTCCAAGATACTGACTGATTGAATCAACTAGATACTTGCCGCCATCACAGAATACCCACAAATGTCTGTGGGTATCAACAAGGGCACCGAAATGCGCCAAGATAACCAGAGCCTCGCACTTCCTCTGCGCAATCATATCAATATATTCGCGAGGGACAAGTATCGGCCATGCAACGAGAACATCTAAGCTGTCGGCCCGTTGAGCCTCACTGTTGACCACAGTGACGACGGATTGCAAGGCCTTGATAGTCTGTTCGTACGTCCTTGTAGTAGAGTCGTCGTAACCAAGGCCTTTGATACGATCAAAAAGCACCTGGCAAACTGGACCCAGAGCATCCGGCTCAGGAATCCGAGAGCCAAGCTGCAACATCGGTTTCAATGCTGTTTGTTGTAAAAGTTGCCATCTCCCCCCGCCTGCGACAGTGCGTACCCCATAGTGCAGCACAACGTACCGAACAAATTGGTCAAGAAAACTCTCAAAGTCATTATCTCGATAGACTAGTGTCTCACAGAGCATATGCAGCCCCAGAATGCCCGCGAATAGAAAGATTGAGACGTAATTTTCGTCATTGATATGTGATGATGAGCTGTTGAATGAGCTCAGTGCATAACTCTGCAGCTGGGTGGAGTGGTGCCGGTAGAAATCCCGCTGTCCCGGTCTGGTGATGCTAAGATGCAAGGCACTCAGAGATAGAAGTTCGTTCATGAGATATGGCGCACCAATGCCATACCGCAAGATATCCCGGAAGGGGATATTAGAAGGATTGAATGCCTTCATGGCTTCTGAAGAGAGATTCAGAACAAGCTCCACATGAAGCATATTAACGGGAGCATCTTCTGGACTACTGATGGGTTCTTGGCCGGGCGGAGAGGTCATGCCCGGTGATCCAACGGCGGGTGATGCAGTAGCAGTTTCGCTTCTAACACTGCGAGAGGACTGGTCGTTGGGGACAGGGTCCAAAAACTCGCAGTGTCTCTGCGAACTGATACAATTGGAACATATTGGTCTTTTCTCATCACACTGAGTAGGGTCAGCGGCTGCACATAGGCGGTCGTCGTTGAGTGACAAACCTTCATGTGGCGGCGCTTGCATTCAATGCAGCCATTTCGAGATTTCTTATGCGTTCTTCGGACCATTTCGCCACACTGTGATATAGAGAAAGATAAGGCTAGGGCCGGAAGTCTTGGTTCCGATACGCGAGTAGTATATTTCAGACCCCTGGGCCCATAGCGGAGGTAAATGGTGCAGCCTAAACAGTTTTAGATAGTCCGCAGCAAGCCTAATCTCTAGACCCACCAACTATATTGCAAGTCCACTTGGACTTTCTTGAGTGATCCCGAGGTCAAGTCGTGAGGTTAGAAAAAATGTGAGAATACGCGTATGCACAGACCATGTCTCCACTTTGATTAAGGTTAAAAGTCTTGGCACTTGCAGGCTCCGCCGTTTTAGGTATCTGCCATATAAACTGCATGGGCTCTACCTGTTCAAATATTTCATTATATAATATTCAACCTCTTTTGCGTAAAAATATATCGCTTAGTTTAGATAGCGTACCGGCTTTTGTCAATATCTGCTATATTTAAATCCCACCCTGCCACCCCTTCACTTTCATTTTTTACCACTCTCAACATTGGGACCCACAACCTATAAAAAGCCCAACCCTCAATCGTTTCTCCTTTTTGTGAGGAAAAAGTTTTCACTCTACACAATATGGCTGAGCTTAAGCCTTACAGAGGGGGTTACTACCTCTGGAAATATCTCCCCTCGATCCCAGCAGCCGTCATCTTCTTGGTGCTTTTCGCCGCTGCCACAACATTTCACTTTTGGAAGCTCCACCGAACAAAAGCTTGGTTCTGCCTCGCATTTTCTATCGGCGGACTCTGTACGTATACTGGGACACTTAATTGAATCGAACTTCGCTGACTGGGTTTCACACGAAGTCGAAGTAATCGGTTACGCTGCTCGAGTCGCTGCGCACAACAGCACAGATTCGGTGATCGTTTTTGCGATTCAGAATGTCTTCCTCCTCCTTGGACCTACTCTTTTCGCAGCCTCCGTATACATGACTCTGGCGCGAATCATCTGCAGTGTCCATGCCGAGAAACACTCCCTTGTTCGCATCAAATGGCTCACCAAGATATTCGTGATGGGCGATGTCGTGTCATTCCTCGTGCAAGGTGGTGCATCAGGCCTGATGGCCACGGGAAATAACCAGAAAATGGGCTCAAACATTGTGGTCGCTGGTCTCGTCATCCAGGTTATCATGTTTGGTCTGTTCATTGTCACTTCGATTGTCTTCGAGGTTCGCATGCGTCGATCACCCCCGGCGGAGGCCTTCGATGAGGGAATCAACTGGATGAGGCATTTGCGCACGCTCTATGCTGTCAGTGCCCTTATCCTGGTTCGGAGCATTTTTCGAGTTGTGGAGTATGCAGCTGGTAACGATGGATATCCACTTACCCATGAGTGGATGCTCTATGTGTTTGACTCTGTGCTGATGATAATCTCTATGCTCATCTGGGGTATTTGGCATCCCGGCACACTGCCGAGACTCACGGTATCGGATCAGGAGACAGTCACCGAAGTGGCGGCTGACCTAGAGTTGAAGCAGAGCTGAGCTGTACGGACATAGGTCTACTTCAATGTAGACTTCATGCTCATTGCTATTTTACTAGCTTCTAGGCCTTCCTGAAATAATGAAAATCTCAGTTATGACATTAGATGGCGGACTCTAGCCTGCATAATCGTAATCACCTTTCTTTAAGCTGAATCTAGTTATCACAATAATTGCAGATCAGACTTGGGAATGCAATCAAAGGGTTGAAACTGAATGTAGCCTCGTCCTATTCATTTAGACATACAAGACATAATGTGTTTGTATAAACAAACTTACTTTGGAAATTGCAACTTAAGAGGAAGAGCAACCTGAATCTAGTGCCCCAACAGCAGCCTAGTGAGAATATGCCTACCTATGTTGTACGTAGGTACATATTCGTACTACGAGGGAAGTGCTGAAGATCCTCCCCTACCTAGACTATCCCGGTTCCACTCCGGTCGATCTTGCGTCGATCCGCTCTTTTGATATTCTATGCCTTCCATCCTCCTTCTGTCTATCACCTCGAAGCTGAATTTCAAAAAAAACCTCCACTTCATCATTAGTGCTTAAGGTATCCGTACGTGACACCTGAGGACTGGCAAGATATAGGGTTTTCCTCCATTTATTACCTTTCATTATCTTCACTTTCCTTAAATATGTCCATGGAGGGATAAGCAGCCAACACAGAAGCATCAATATATATAAAGCCATAGCGAGCATGCTAATACCATACATTGTTGACAGCTGTAGGCTTGGCAGCGATGTTCTACAGATCAACGGTCTTGCATTGACCAATCATGGTTCGTTAGTACACATCTGGCGGCAGAGGCTGAAATGATTTATAGGGAAAGAATGGGAGAATTAGGATGACCAATTCACTCCCGACAACTGGATCCCCCGATCTTCCCACTTCATCCGCCTAACAGGTAAACATCCGCTCAACGGCAAGCCAGAATTGCAAGCCCTCTTTGGAGCGGGTCTCATCACCCCGAATTCACTACACTATGTTCGCAACCATGGCCCTGTGCCCCATCCACTGTGGGAAACCCACCAATTTGACGTAGAGGGCGGAAACCTGGTCTTATCGACGGAAGATCTCGCAAGCAACTACAACTACGAGATTATCAACATTGCAGTAGCAATGGCGTGCGATGGCAGCCGGAGGAAAGAGCTAAATATGATACAACGCTCGAAAGGTTTCAATTGGGGCGCTGGAGCCATTAGCTGCGCGTTTTGGAAAGGCCCTCTCCTACGGGATGTACTTCTAGCGGTTGGCATTCAGGCCCTTGATCCACTCCACGAAAAGCGTCCGCGTTGGGTCCATTTAGAAAGCGTTGATGACCTCAGAGAGGGCAAGTACGCGACATCAATTCCGTTAGCATATGTGATGGATTCTGAAAACGACGTGATTTTGGCATACGAAATGAACAATATGCGACTGCCACCAGACCACGGTTATCCAGTGCGTCTGATAGTCCCCAGTTACGTGGTTGGTTGTTGTGTCAAATGCCTCCAGAAGATTTGGGTCTCTGACAAGAAGAACGATAGCCATTTTCATATTTGGGACAACAGGTTTCTGCCTAGTTTTATTCGGGATAAAAGACTCGGAGTTCTCAGACATCATGTTCCATCACCCAAGCACGGCCTGCAACGAACAGAGCCTCACCTCAATCATCGTGCATGGTGCGGCAAAGATTGACGACAACGACGATAGCTGCTCGGTGCTGTACTTCCGACATCCCTGCGAGCCTGGCACAGGGACTGGGGGCTGGATGCAGCCCTCCTCGGCTGAGAACCGCATCGAGAATATCAAGCACGAGGCAGCATCCCCGCAAAAGCAATTTACGCGTGAGGAGATTGAAAGGCACAAAAAAGAAAATGACTGCTGGGTTGTCATCAATGGCAAAGTCTACGATGCGACAAGTGTGCTTGATTGGCATCCCGGCGGCAAGGCACCTATCATGGTGCATTCGGGTAGGGCACATGCCGATACCACGATGATTTTGAGGGCATCCATGATGACTATGCGGAGCAGAAGCTTAGCGGTACTATATGACCGTTCCCAATTTTGTTAAATATTGACTGACTGGACACAGAATGCGTCCTTAGTGTTGTTACAGAAAAGACGATTAGGTATATCAAGAAGCAGGCCGAAGATGAGGTCAAAGATAAATTCAACTCCCCAAAGAAGAGCTTGGAGACTGTCTTTGACCGCCATTGGTGGAATGTTGTTCGTTTTCAGGGGAAGGAACATATTTCCGAGGACACTCGTCGATACACTTTTTGCTACCCGCGGATAGGCAGAAGCTCGGTCTCAGCACCTGCCAGCATCTTCAACTCGGATTCCATTTTAGTGATCGGCTCGTCGTGAGGCCATACACACCCACGAGGCCAGTCTTTGAGAGAAGAAGATGGCACATTTGACCTTTTCATCAAGACATACGCCCCGGGTCAATCCCAGCCAAGCGGAACGATAAGCGATATCCTGGACTGTCTACATCCTAGTGAGGAAATCGAAGTCAAAGGGCCTTCCGGTAAGGTCAGGTACATCGGCCAAGAGAGATTCATGATCGACGACAAAGAATATCATTTCCCCAATGCCAGTCTTGTCTTGGGAGGATCCGGTATCACCCCGGTGTACCAGCTCATCTCACGTATCGTACGTACCAAGGATCGATGTTTGAAGAATACAATACCAACATCAAGCTCATTAATACAAACAAGACCGAAGGCGATATTCTATTGAGGAATGATTTGGATAAACTTGCAAAGAATGATCCGGGTCGATGCAAGATCACTCATGTTCTTTCAAATCCAAATAATAACTGGACAGGAGAGAAGTGCCATGTGTCGAAGGACATTCTGCAGAAGTATGCATTTGAACCTGAGAAAGGGAATCTGGCGCTGCTTTGTGGTCCTCCGACTATGTTTCAGAAGGCTGTGCTTCCAGTGCTTCGGGAGATTGGATACAAAGAGGACGAGAACTTGTTGGGATTTTAATTTCGTTGCCCCTCAGCAATCGAATCCTCGGGTTGCGAAAATATAGCCTGTAATAGAGTCACTAACCCTGCCCAGGTGGAAAACCTCGCTTACGAAGCGCAGGCACGGCTGATGCCCACACATCTTCAATATTGTGGGACAAGAATATTCGGCCGCGCTTGCAGCCTTGTGATGTATTTTTCATTGTTCTTTCTAGATCGTTGAAAATGTCTTTTAGGTGGTCTTTTAGGTGGTCTTTTAGGTGGTCTCTTAAAATGGTTGTTCTAGAGGTCTTTTCAGATGTATGAAAACGCGGTAAAAAAAAGCATACTTCTTGGAAGGGACTTTTCTATGTATAACCTGTGATTGTGAAGATCATGCGAAATTCACACGTCGACCAGATATATAACACAATTCCCTTGGTGGTTTCCTGTTAGATCCCCGTCATACTTGAATAAAGTAATTGCTGCAATACTTTAAGGATTATAAAACTTCATAAAGTCAAATTATAACTTGAGGTCTGCCTCCCAACTCCCATGCACATCATCACATAGGCACTCAAGCCTTGGCAGACTCAACCTCGACGTGGTCAGTTTCAATATGCTTCTCGGCCTTAAGATCCTCCAACACCTCAATACCGGCAAGGCCAAGGCTCTCATTGATGCGCATCATGCGCAGACGATCAGCTTCAGCGATGCTATTATTATCACCACCGAAGAAGACATCCAACTCCTCAAGTGTTTTGTCCTTGGTCTCAGGGGCGAACTTCCAAATGAACAGACCACCTAAAGCACTAAAGATGGCGAAGAAGATGTAGGTACCGTACTTCATCGAGCCCAACATATCCTTAGTAGTGAGACCAATGATAAAGTTGAACATCCAGTTGGTTGAAGCGACAATTGAGACACCGCGGGAGCGCTGACTGTTAGGGAAGATTTCTTGGGCCAACACCCAAGAGACGGGACCTGTTCAATAAATGGTTAATGGAATGAGACATATGAGCTGGTTGCGTGGTGACATACCCCAAGAGTAAGCAAAGTTGACAGCGAAAAGCCAGATGAAAGCAATGGCAACCCAACCTTGAGGCCTGGCAAGTCCCTCATTCAGGTTCCACTTAGGCTCGTATATACCCTCCACGATTGCGACAACGATATGGCAAATAAACATGCCGGCAGCACCGACAATCAAGAAGGTCTTGCGGCCGAATTTATCGAGATAAAGGACGGTAGGTAGGGTAAAGATGATCTGCAGGATGCCAGTCACACCAGTGGCGAGGAGGGTTGTCTTCGTGGAGGAGAAACCGAACTAAGAAAAAAGAATAGAGTTAGCAACCATTATCCGGAGCAAAATTGAAAGGGTGGTTGAGAAAAAAGGAATCACTCACCGAAGAGAAAATCTGGGGCGCATAGTAGAGCACGGCGTTGATACCAGTGAACTGTTGGAAAACCATCATACCGCAACCGAGCGTCAGGCGCTTGAACATGTTGGGGGCAAACAGGGCTTTCCAGGGAGCCAATACACCTCCAGATCCAACAACCTCACTCTCAGTCTCTTCATCGAACATAACAGCAGCCTTGATCTCAAGGTACTCCGCACGAACAAGTGGATCATTCACAGGCAGGCGACGCAGCCTAGAGATGCACTCCTTGGCCTCTTCATCACGGTGCTTCATCATCAACCAACGAGGCGAGAAGGGGAAGAAGAAGAGACCGAAGAACAAGATCCAAGCCGGGATAATCTGCAAAGCCAAGGGAAGTCTCCACGCGATAGTCTTCTGACCCAAGCAGGTGTGGCCATGGTTCTGAGCGGCATTGTATGTTCCACTGGCCAGGTAAGGGTTCGAGATACCCTCTGGCTGACAGGTGTTGCTGCCGACAAACTGCATACCATAGTCGAGCCAGAAAGAAATGGCAGTACCGACAGTGATGGACAGCTGCTGCAAGGAAACAAGCGATCCACGCAGCTCAGGGGGAGCGATCTCGGCTTGGTACAGTGGGATGACCATACTGAACATACCAATACCAACACCACCGATAATTCTGCCGGCAAAGAAGTACGCAGGATTCTGTGCACCGGCCTGAAGACCAGTGCCCAGGGTGAAGATGATGACGGCAACCATCATGGCATACTTACGCGAAATACGATCTGCGAGAACACCGTTGATCAAAGCACCAGCCCAGGCACCTAGCTCGAGGGCTGACACCAACCAACCCTGGATCGTGGAACCCATGAATGTCGGGAAGTGGTTTTGGAAATTCTCCATGACGAGAACCGGACCCATCACACCCTGATCGTATCCATACATGATACAACCCAGCGACGCAAACAAACAAGTAAAGAATACATATGGGTTTGAGATAAAACCTTTGAGACCGTGGGGCTTCTCTGCGTTGGTACGCCCAACCACAGACTGACTGATTGCCATATTGAAGACAAAGCTGGGGGCAAGATCGAGAACAGGAAAAATGCAATGTAACCAAGGAAGAAAGTGGGCTAAGCATGCGGATTATATAGTGCTGGCCGCATTTCCAGCCTCGAAAATTTTCTTCCGCCGCTTACTCTGGGGTTAGACCCCACGAATGGTATTTCCCCGGAAATAGCGACAAAACGCGCAGCTAACCGAAGATTCGACATGGGGGACACTCAATCATTCGATGGCATGTGCCGGTCCAAGGGGCCAATAGCACGCTACGACCAAATTCGACGCTAGACCGACCATTAGACATGCCATTATCCGGAAAGACGAAAATGAATATAAAATTATCGGAGGCTAAGGTGCGCCACCAACCAAAAGAAGCATCAGACCAGCCGTCTCGGCATTGACTGGGCACCTTGGGCCCGAACTTCTCATAGAACAAGCCTCCAGGTCTGAGGGCGCCGTGGCTTGGCTGCATTGGGCTATGATTCGTTAAACGAGTGTCAGCTTTGATCCTTTCTCAATGTCCATGTCATCCAACTACATGAAGGGAAATTCTAGTGCTTACTGCACTGACAATTTGGATGGAGTTAGATACAACATGACCCCCGCAAACCCGACAATTGGCCGATCCCAGTCAGTGAAATCAATGGGTATACTATTCGTATTGCGGGTATCTGTTCGTGTGTCATCTCTACTGGGAGTATTCCGTATTCGGTAGAATATTTGGTGATCAGTAAGCTTCAACTATAATTGAAATTTTTTTTTTCGACTGGCCTAGCATGTTTTGAGGACCAGGGATCCACAGATAACCAAGTAAATGGAAAAAGACATACGTAGTAGAGAAAAAGAAGTACAGGGACCGGCTAATCTTCGGGTCTGCTATTTTGGATGTGAACTCTGTAGGTTGGTTTCTCATGTTATGTTTTACAATTCTAAACCCACAATTCTCCAGATTGGCTGACCTTCGGCGTTAAGCCTCGGGTTGTAAAAAAATTAATAAATTAAAAAGATGCCCAACTTCGGGCTAGCGGCCTCTTCGGCACTGGCTTGGCTCGGGATTGGCCAAAAACCTCGGGGAACCGACCGCGTGGTCTTCCGGGGTTTACCCATGGGGTTCAAACTTTGCCAGTTCCAGATGCTCGGTGAGTTAACTCCGGGGTGAAATCTGGGGATGATATGCACTTATACACTCATATGTTGTTCTCCTGTTTGTGACTCATAAGTTCATTGCTGTTGTACCTGGTTTTTCTCGGAGTCCTGAGCCCAGCTTCCGGCTCTTCCGGTGTCGTATATCACGTCGGGCTATAACCCCATGCCGTGAAACCCTACGGGGTCGCCTATCTAGAGGGACCAATGAGTGTCGCCGGTTTCAATTTGTCGCCGACTCGGGTCTAGTCAAAATGCAGTGTCTAACACGTTGTTTTCGTTTTGTTTATGAAAAGAGAACGCCTTCGAGACAAATTAGGCTAGCGCTAGCTATCTCTCTTGCTGGCAGTGTTTTTCATGAATTCGCCTGAACTAGATCCCTGTCAATTTACTAAGAACATGCGTTCATATGACTCTCGGGTATGTCACGCAATTTCATTCAATATATAGTGGTCATACATCAACATCAACTCTCCGTTAGCTATCGTGGCAAGGACTGTATCAAATAACAGAAATATTCTCAGAGCTCAACATTACAAAGAAATTCCACTGCATTTTGGAATGCCTTCATGGCCTGTCTTTGTTGCCCCAAGCCACCAGCGCAACACGAGGATTCCGGAAAAGATACCAACATCCCAACAAGAACAAAGAGGCCATTCAACGCTGAGATCCAAATTCAGAACTCAAATTATACAACGAACCGTTGTCATTTTAACTGATTTATGGGACTTCTAATCTGAGCCACATCTGCTAACAGGGGGACAAAGATACATTGACAATGTGCATTGTGCCTGAATGGTTTTAAGTCTACTCTTAGATGAAAACAAAGGCCCCTTCCCTTGAGCTCTTTGTCGCCGAGTACAATCTCAATTTTTGGGTCTTGATACCTAGATCTCCAAAAGCTATATAAGCCCCCCGTTCCTCTGAATCATACATGCATCAAGTTCTCCGCCACTCCCCACTATTCCAGTCTTCTGGCTCCAGGGTTTCTAATTCTCTGAGCCTAGTGGTCGGTCAAGTACAACTTACAAGTCTACTCCTCCCCTTCTCGGCACAAAGAACAATTTATATGATCATGTCAGCTAACTATAACTGGCAGGCTGTCCACCCAGTCTACGGAGTACCCATTTCCGTCGTGCAGGCCACCGAGCAGCCAGCAATCCGCTGCGACGTTCGTCAGAGACACAACCTCCCTTCTAGATCATGGGCGGTACGTATTTCCACATGGATCAACACTAACTATTTCTTATGGTCTTTGTGCGCTGGACTTGCGGGTTATCGCTCTGACGAGGAGTGGACGAATACATTCGAGATCCACTATCGAAAGACCTGGGATGAGATCCAGGCCAGAGTACGGGAGATCGATGAGCCTTATAGGTTCGGTGTGCCCATTCCAATGCCACCAGTCATCCAGGCTGTAGTCATCCACCACCCCGAGAGTGGCCCTGCGGAGATATTCACGGTTCGCCCGGAGGCTCGTCCGTCACATCTTGTTCCTCAGATAATTATTATGTCGCCGGATGCTGTATGGGGACTTTTGAGGTTTGTGACTGAGCGTCAGTCCTCTGTCCCTGATATATTTGATGTAGTGCTCGATATTTCGCCGCCAGCGCTGTCGCACCCTGTAGATAAACAGGTTAACCACAGTATGGCCAGAAAGAGAATATCTCAAGGCAACTCGAAGGATGATGTGGTAGACACGTACTACCAGTTTGGAAATTAAGATCAAGTATGAGGTATGTGGTGTCTTTTGTTCCTTTCCGCCTTTTTATATATAAAATTTCAGGAAAATAAATTGATATTTATTCTGATCATCCGCTCTCCGGACATGACATAGTAATATAATGAGACCTTGGAAAATACATGAATGCCTTGATATAAACTTTATAGGGGTTTACTGGGCTTATAAGCCTCACTTGAAGAGAAAGGCCCTTCAACTGCTCGTCTATTGCCTCAATTGACTTCACCTTCGTCTGTCAATTGGGGATGACAACATGGCTTAGAAGTCACGCATGAATTACTTTGAATGGTTTTACATGTATTTGATAGAATATAGATGTAAAGCAAGTGTGAAGAGTAGGAAATATGTTGTGGGCATAGAACAAAAGTGTCCTCTTGACTTAGAGTGGCGCCTTGGTAAGTTTTATATCATCCATGTACCACGCCAAATCACCTGCTCCATGCTGATCATGCACACTTTCACCATTTCCTAGACATCGGAACCGGTTCTTAGAGCGGTAGTCGATATTGAAGTGCTCCCCACCAATATTCTCAAGACAGTCTTTTTAGTGCAAAACTGACCCTGGATATACCCCGGTGACATGGCCTTTACTTTTTCCGTTTTTGTACCAGCTCCGACATTCATCTGACCACACCATACGCTTGAGGAACTCCTGACAATAAACATTGTAGTCTTCCATGGCTTCCTTTTTGACATCAATTGACCTGCGTGAAATATGTTAGTCAAATGTTGACAAGACCCACGAATATCATAATGACTCACTTGATATCCTCCGCAGAAATCTTCTTGGCCCAGCGGAGAATGTAATCGCATGTCCAAGAGATCTGCGTCAAAACTGAGCCATGGGAGATAGGACAATTGGGCCCGTTGAAGATAAAATAATTCGGCATTGTGTCCACTTGGACCGCAAAGAAAGCCTCGGGGTTACCTTTCCATCGCTCTTCCAATGTCGCTCCATGGCGACCAATCATCTTCCAAGATGGGATAAAGGTCGTGTCGAACCCTGTGGCACAGACTATCACGTCGAATTGTTGCTCATCGCCTGCAACGGTTCTGATACCCTGTTCTGTGATTCGCTCGATCGGATCAAAGGTTAGGGTTGCATTGTCATTAGAAAAAGCCTCCAGATACCCATCTCCTGGTGTTAAGCGATGGCAGCCAGGACGGAACTCGTGAGAAAGCATCTTTAACAGTATTTCTGGGTCGGAGATTCCTTTCATTCGCTCCGCCATCTGTTGCTTGCAGGCCTGTGTCAATCCCAATTGCATTGGGTGGTCTCTATACATCCCAAAAAAGAACGCATTGACACTTTACTCAAATTTAGATTAGCTCTGGCGACCACTAGTTTGGCGGAGCCCTATGTTGACTTTGAGCTTACCTAGCCTCTAACTCTCTTCGATACTTAAAATGAGCCGCGGCGTCTTCCGCGAAGTGTGATTTCTCCTCCTCTGTATAGGGAAAATTGCCCCCATTTTGTGTCTTCTCCGCACAAAAGTTGACAGAAACCCAGGTCGGATTACGCACAAAGTTGACAAGCTGGGCGACCTTCGGCTGCATTGCAGCCACGCATTGAATTCCGGAGGAGCCATTACCAATGACTGCAACTCGTTTATTCGACCAGTCATAGGTGTTATCCCTAATATGGCTCGTTATTAAACTTTGTTTGAGAGTTGATAAACAACATCTGCTCACCAGGTCGAAGTGTGAAGTAACTTGCCCCTGAAACTCAATAGGCCCTCAATGTCAGGCCAGCTGGTTTTGCTACCCGTAATATCACCGTTAGCAGGGGAAAACAATATCCAGGATAACTAACTCTCACTTCAAAAAGCCAGCCGCATTGACCAGAATATCCGCCTCGTCATGAATTATTGTAGGACCTTACGGGCAGGGATGTCACTGGATAGATTAGTTAATACAGTCATTTTTATTAGAGGTATCGACACAATACTCACCAAGCGACACCAGGATAGGTGTTTTCAAACCAGGTTCCGCCAACCTCGGGGTTCTTTTCGTAGATTTGCAATTCCACAAAATCACCGAGCTTCAGCTCATGGTCGATCTTGTAGGCAAGTGTCAACCCCGAGTAACCCGCACCAATGCAGATGATCTTTAGTTTCCGTCGCGTATATGCAGGTTGCTCGGCGCAGGGGATCCAGTTGGGTGGGGTCTCGCCATTAGCAACGCGAGTGGCAGATGTTGGGAGAGAGGCGGAACCATTTTGCAACCCATTCGAAGGGAGATTGTAACGCATATTGGGGAACGATTTGGGGGCCGAGGATTCAATTGTCGGTGAGTTGCTCTTATATTAGTACTATAGCTCCCGCGGAAACTGCATGTGTATTATAGAATAGAGAAAATGAACTAAACTAAGGGGCATACGCATATGGAGTGATTAGGTGTTCTTTGGGTTTTTCATTTGTACGAGCAGAAAAAGATGTAGGTCTTAGACCGCCGCTACTCCGTATAGGCTTTTGATTGACACAGTGTTACATGGTTTATGGTGGCAATTGAACAGAAGTACTGATGCAGTTGGCTGTTATCAAATCCCCTACTCCGTATACGTTGTATAGCTCGTCTCCACCCGTGGGCACTGGCCCGCGGGGAGGCTAACTGGTGCCGCGGTCAGATACCGGCTTTCTCCACACTTATAACTCCTGTCAGTTGGTATCACAGGTCACATATCGTGGAGTGCAAAGTACTGCACCCATGTTACAAGGATCATTAGGTCTTGCTAAATGGAATACGCGACGCTGGAGAACAACAAACCGCCCCCAACTTACCAAGCCACTAATACAACTACTAATACAACTTACGGAGTATCCCGTATCTGTGCTGTGCATAATTTCTACGTACTCAGTAGTTATGTCGTAGTTATGCCTTCCCCTATGTTTCCAAACAAGAAGTTTACCTCTTAGTATCTCAATTGCAAATTGCCAATATATGACGACGGTAGATTCTATTTTATATTGTACACAAAATAATGCGAATGTAGTGCATCTCAAACTGCACCACAGCATATTCGCAACTAACAAAGCTAAGGAACTCTTCGTCCTTCCAGGGCCGTGTTTGTAACAATTGAAGACAGATCAGCGTTTTTTGCCTGTTTTATACTTGTCCCATGTCACATCCACATCTTGTTGAACTGTAATACCACTAGAATCTCCTCGCTCCACGTCATGGTGGTCACTCACAGCCTCATCCCTCAACGACTGAGTGGCATTTATAACGTTCATTAGTTCGACTTCGTCTACACAACTAAAGTCATTGATACTGAATAAAGAGTCCTTGGGTGGCTTTTTTGCTCGTGGTTTCCGCAGCCAGGTCGTTATAGTAGATGGATGTTCAGCGCTCGGATTGGTGCTGCGGCTGTTCGATGAACGCATTGTCCGAACTTTAGCCCACCACCGTCGAAAGAATGGTCCGAAGGTAGGTAGGCATGCGCAGATGATTCCAACAAAAGGTTCTACGCATGACCAGATAAAGACAGGTGCCATAGTCCACGTAGCATCTGTTCCGTATGTGTTTTTCTGAAGCGAGAGGATTCGGCAAATGCTTGCCACGCAAACACTGATGTCAATTAGCCAGGATCAAATAGTAGTAGGAGGTAGAGAAAGCATACAAACTTCCTAGGAGCAAGATCCCCATCACCGCTATCTTCTGCGACAATTGCATCTGCAACTTGTAAATTGTTGGTATTGGCATACACAGTATTATCACATCAATCAACATAGCAGCAATTCCATTACCAAAAAGGAATGTCGGCACATCAATGCATACACCAATGGCTGTTGGATCAGTATAGACCAGCCAGAAATACGGGAGTGGTCGACAGGCCACTGCAACCGTGACGATAATAGTGGCCCAGTACCCAAGCACCAAGAACATGCAGAAGCCTAGTGACCAGCGAAAGTTAAAGATGCGGCCATAAAAGAAGACGATGGATGATTTTGTGAAAGTGACAGCTGTGGCGTAAATCATAACATAGGCAAACAGTATCTGAATGTTTTGTCAACGTCCATCTCAAGCACCTCGTTCAGTATTTTACATACTTCCCAAAACTCTGCTTTGGTCAAGGATTGTAAATGATAACCATTTCCATGAGGAATGCCTAGAGACTGGTGTAAGTGATATGCCAATCCATTGAGCATACTAGGACACATTTTTAACTCACTTATAAAGCAGGATATTGCTGTGCCCCATGAGAATAAAAGAGCTGCAATGATGAGGTAGTCATCGACAGCTAATTTCCTCGCCTCTTTGGCTTTCACTGGTGCAGCTAATCGCAATATAACCGCAGTGGTTCCCAACACCGCTACAGGAACAACTGCTCCCAACAATTTGCCTGTCTGGTTCTTTGCCAGATCTACCCCAGGCGGTGCTGGGCCAAAATTACCTGTAGCTGTAATGCTAGGCATTTTGGCCGTCTTGCGATAGATGAAAGCGTATTACAGATGATGAACACAGATCCGCAGATCTGAAGATGTCTAACCTAGCAGCTCGGGTAGACCACTCCATATGTAGTCTGATTTTCACAGGTTAAGGCAGTTATCTAGTGACGAAGGGTCTTTCAGGTCAGGGGTTTTAGTTTTAAGATATCTAAGATGCTAGAACTCGTAATGATCCGCGAACCTGAGAATGAAGTTGAGATATCTCATTTAATTATGTCAATTTGCGTCAGTGTGTAGAGTATAGGGGTGTAAGTATCAGAACCACTACTTTAGTGTAAAAGTATATCCTAGAGCCTGGGCTCCGGTAATGGTCTAGTCTCTGGTTGATACGAGACTTGACCCTTCTTAACGGTCAAATGCTGTGCGATCAATGCGCCGGGGCCCCACAACCCGTCCATTTGACAGCACGGGTGTGCCGCTCTCTTCCTTTCAGTACTCCGTACTTTCGACGTCGGATATCTCAAAGACCAGCCCTAGACTCGGTTTTGATAGAATCAAAAGTCTCCGCGTTCGCCACACATACCCTTTACTGCTCATTTCCGCTTGGGGCTCGACTAGCCATAAAGCAGGGATTAGAAGTGACCGAGCACGGCCGTAACAACTTGTAAATAGGTACGTGTCCTATCTGTCGGCCACTAATAGCTAGTGATAACACTCCGTACTTTGTTGAGAATTGTGATTGATTCTTTAAGTCCCATCAGCCTCGGCTGTGGATTTCACGACCCCAGCGAAGTGCGGCCAGGTCATCAAACCAAATCAAGGGAAATCAAGATTATATACGACAAGCATCACACTGAAATAATTCTTTGTTGTATCTCTTGGTTTATATTCATCTATATATTTAGGACAAGAAAAGCTTAGGGCTTTTTGCGGGTCTCTAGTACGCCGTCGATTTCCTCGGCCCCATCCGGTGAACTTTGACTGCACAATAAATAACTATGAAAGTCTAAACAGTAAACAAAACCAGCTGCAAGCAGTGAGATTTAAGAATAGAATGACGATCCTCGCCCACAGTAGGAATCTGTGGATGTGCCAAGGGATTTTTAACTCTTGTCAGTAGCGGCGCCCAGCAAAAAAAAATATAAATGATGGATTTGTCTTTCTTCCTTTCTCTCCCTGCCTATCATATAAAATCTTAATTGCCATATCCAGTCCTATGCGCGCCCCAATCTATATTAGGAAGTGATTCGCCAACATCTCTAGTATATGTCCACAGATGTATATATAGTTCAGGCATGTGATCCCCAAAGCGAAATTAGGGTGAAAGAGCCCATAAACAAGGACACAGCAGTACCGATGGGCACCTATGTAATATAAATACTGACTTTCATGATTGAAAATGACTTTGTTTTGATATGTTACAGGAAGTGGCTTTGGTATCTGGGCTTTGCGGGCCACTAGGCAGAGGACGAATCCCTTCCGAAACAAGTGTCAATAAGGGGAACGGTAGATATTTGTGGTAGCTCTCATGAATAATACGTTATATTTCTACGATATAAAATTCTGTTTCAGGGAATATGAGAAGATATGTGAGACGTTCCTCTGGAAAGATATATATATAGGAGGCCGTGAGCTTGGGGCAGCAATTTCGGCCTCCCAGTATGAAATTATTGAAACGCTCATCAACCGTGGCGTGAGCAAAGAGCAAGACAAAAGGGACAGTGTTTCGCCGCTTATCTGCGCTATCAGGACTGGAACCTTGAGGATCCTGACATTATTCTATGAAGAAGGGCCGAAGCGTCCCTCCTTGATATATAACCCCGGGATACTGCACTCGCCTTCAGCATATGCCGCGGCTCTTGCTGTTGGGGTTCCCGAGATTGTGGAATATCTGGAGGTTTGTATAGACCGTGACGGCGGCGGCCCTCAAACAACGGAGAGTGCTACTGATGCCGACAAGGCTCGCAACGTTCTGGGGAGTATGTCAAATATTTATCACCAGGACGGGTACATTCCAAAGGCAGAAGAGACTCAAGCCAAGTGCACGCTCGTCCACCAAATTGCGTTGCATCTCTTACCCTCAGCAGGGGGAGATCTTGAGTTGGGTCGGATCTGCAAGTTGGTCGAAAAAGCCCCAGAGATACAGACTATGGACCTGTTAGGAAAGGCCTTGCCACCCCTTCTTCGCACGATCAGGGAAGAGGCTGATCCTCAAAAGAGAGCATTTTTCTTGGAGACTTTGGAGGTTGTCATTAATGATCAAATCGCAAGTCAGCTAAGCAAACTTAGAGAGCGACAACCATCAGTGGCTGATGAGGTGGATCAGAGGACAGGCAAGCTCGATAAGGCTTTGAGCCATCTTTGGTTTGTGGCAAGGGAAAACATCGATAATGACGAGATGGACAGAGTCATGATGGTCATTTCGCGCCTTCTTCGATTCTAGCCTTTCTTCTCCTCATATTAACATTGTTCTGTCTTCGTTTCGGAGTTTTCACACTAATATTCTGGAAATAAAATCGTTATAAAACTTCCCATTGCAAGATGAACTAATACAAGCCTGAAAAGAGTGTAGAATGCCAGGATTGATTTCTGTAGGTAGGTATCCATGTCAAGATCATAGAGAAATGGATACCAGTGACATTCCCGACATGACCCGGAAGAAACAGATTGTAGCTTCGAGACACTAGATGGTGACCCAAGTAGAAGTGGCGAGGACACAGCATATTTTACTGCATGTGGTTACAAGCATACTAAAGTCGGAGACACAACACCATATCAATCTACAGCCATACCACCCCATACAACAGGATCCAGTAGTTAGCAAATCTTTATCCCAAGCGTAGAGTAATTCCATTGAATGAGGCAGTCTAAACACAGCGCCGGGGACGTATCCCCTGAGATCGAAGCCATAGCAAATGCACGAACAATTAAGGCGGGGGCAGCGATAGAAGAGGCCAAGTAGTACATGACAAATAAAGAGAAAACAAGCAAAGCTAATAGGCATATTGGGACAAATAAGAGCAAGAGAAAAATAAAAGGCCAAGAAAGCAACGAGCCCAGAGGCTGGTGATGTCAGGTGGATCGAAAGGCGGCAATGTATGTATGTATACTTTCAGATCATGTCGGCATGGGCTGGCATCGTCACCGATGTGGCGGGTATGTATGCAGGATAATAATGTATGTGTTGCTCGTGAGGGCGTCTCAAGTGGCCGGGGGATTAACCATAGATTTCAATTCTGTTGGGCTCTTATTTGCTGTATCCTTCTAGTGTGTTCTGACGGGCCAATGCCAATGCATGCACCCTCAGAACCGTTCCTTGGCAGTGGAGTAGAGGCCGCCGGGCTTCATGTGCCGCTGTTTCGCATTTTCTCCCCAGCTGCACCCATAAGACTAGAAGGGAAGATGGAGGAAGAAATCGAGCAACAAGTGGGTATCATAATGGGGCTGTTTTGGGATGGCGCGAAATTAATGCAGATTGAAAAGCGCCGGACGAGAGAAAAGAAACAAAAAATGGTCGAGAAAGTTGTCATTTCGAAGTTAGTCGGGGTTGGTAAGCTAGAAATCACCAAATTAGCAAGATTTTTTTGGCAAGTATCCAGGGTGCAATATTCAACTTACCCGAAGAACAGGACGCGAGTAGTCTTCGTTGTCTTGCAGTGAAACACTGCTCTCCCGAGCACCGTTCGGGTAGAGAATGGTGTTGGTCTTCATCCGCCGATCGGTGAATGTTGTGCCCGAACGTGTGGGAATAGGTCCACCGGCAGCGCCTTCTCCATTTCTCCGCGGGAACAGACCTCCCATGAAGCTAGATCCCCTGCTAGTTCTGTCTTCGGCCATATCCTGGCTTGGGATGGGGCTGACGGCACGAGCGCGTTTGCGGTAGAAGAAGACCAAGAAGATGAGAGCACCAAGTAGGGCGAGTCCTCCAAGAACACCAATCACGATACCTGCGATAGAACCTCCACTCATTTTCGAGCTGGTAGCCGCAGTGGTAGCCGATGCAGAATCAGCGCCAGCGCCCACAGTCGGACTTGAGCCAGAAACGGTGATTGTCTTGACTTGGCCGCCAGAGTTAGTCTGGACTGAGACGGTTTCTGAGGTACTGGTTGTTGTATCCGATGAGGTTGACTAGGATCAAAAGTTAGCCAAGTGTGCCATTTGATCAAACCGGTGATGCTGAAGATACAGTTTGTGAAGCCGATGGGGAAGAATCCGAGGCAGTCACAGTGACAGTTGTGGGCTGAACGATAGTACTCTCCTATCCCCGACATTAGAGCCACAAGCTAGGAAAGAGTAGAACACCCAATCAATGCTACTTAGGCCAGAAGGTTTATCGCTCCAAAAATAGAAAACAGAAGGGAAACCAAGAAAAATGCGATCCAAGAGAAAGTAAGGGGACTAGCTTACCGAGGTTGAGGTTGAGGTTGATGATGTTGTGGTTGACGACGAAGACGAAGTGGTTTTTGAGGTTGTTGAACCACCGGCTGTGCTAACGATATCGTTGCCTGAAATTTCCACGTAGGCGAATACTCCTTTGGTTGCACTTCCACAACTGTCTGCGGGATAACCCGGACATGCACCATCACAGTTTGTGGTGTCTGATTGCGACGCCGCGGAGGGAGCAACATTTGAGCACCAGCACTTCTTCCCTTGTAGGATACCTAGGGCGTAATTGGCGCAAGTAGCTTCACAAGCTCCATTTGATTGATATGTGTCGGTAACTGCGAAAAGTTAGTGATATTACTAAATTTGTAAAGTTTGCGATCACTCACCTGCACTGAAGGAAGACCCCGTATTGTCTGAAGCACAGTACGCGAGGCTGGATGCGGCCGACGCGAATGGCCGAGCCAGGAGAGCAAAAACTGAGACCACCACCGGAACCTTCATGGTGTGCTCGATCGATAATTTATTATCGGACCCGATCGCTTGCTCTTAATATTTGGGGTTTTCTTTATTTTCCACCCAGATCCCGACAAGCATGAAGGTAGCGACGATAAGAAGTTTGTAGGCGCAGAGTGAAGATTGAATTCCGCTGCGTGGGCCGACCGATGTGAATTGTCGATCCCCTATGGACCAGAGTCCGATGGTGCCTGGACGAAGAATCTAATGTGTCGATGGTAGTCGATCGAAAAGGTCCCAATTGTTATTTGTTGATCCCCCACTAAACACTGAAAAAGTCGTAGGTTGTCCCGTATCAAAGACACATTGTCTCGGTGGATGTCTCCGAGGGCTGAAGGGCTAGGCAACAAAATAACAAGAAAGGAAATGAAAGGAAATGAAATGAAGCGATGGAGGAGAAAGCGAGGTTCCAATGTACACAGGAGAGAGAGAGAGAGATAGAGAGAGAGAAGAGAAGAGGAGAAGGGGGATCTCCACAGTCACGGGCCATGCTATCCTGCTATCCTACTCCTCGTCGGAGTATGTCGAGGCTTCCCGACATACCCGGTGGATACTGATTTTCTTATTTTACTGTGGGATTTACGGAGTAAATTTTATTAATTGAGATCTCAAAGTAAATTGTAGTTTATTTACAGATCTTCTACTCTGTGTGTTTTTTTTTTTCCCTCCATGAATGCTTTATAGGATATCTTGTTATCTCTGTAAGGTACCTGTGTACAAAGCGTGAGCCTATAAAAAGCCATCTTATAATCTTATACAAAGTAGCTCATAACAAAGTACATATGTATAATAGTGTATAACAGTGTATAACAAGTAAAACACAGTATAACCCAGTATAACCAAGTATTTTATTGACTTTTTTCCTAAAGCGCTTTTTCTCCACTGCAATGGCCTGACTGGTAGAACCAAAGATCGTTGCACCAGGGAAACATTCCACCCTTCATACCTACCTGTTTTTCTTTTTTTTCCCTCTATCTTGATGACTCTGTATTCACTTTCTAATATCTACAGTACGGAGTAGTGCCCTTCTATTGATGTATCATTTTCTTTATTACATCCGAAACAGTTGTCCGAGGGATCGCCAATGCATTACCAGGATTACAAAGTCTAGCGTAATTATAGACATACGTAATTGGGTGGAGAGAAAAAAAAACTCCTAACACTAAGAATGTTCCAACTTCGAATTGGCCTTTTTTACTCCGTATAAAGCTCTCTACGGAGTAAGAACCTTCGAGACTAAATCCATTGTGGCGATAAAAATAATTCCTCCACTCCATCAGTGTCCAGCTTAGCGTCAATGCAGCAACTTACGTATGCGACTCGGATCAAGTTGTCATTAACCACACAGCCTGCCAAGGTTTCCAAATATCATTATGAAATGGCCACCTGTCAACTTGCAAATTCCCTGGTACATTGTGTCTAGACCGTGAGGTAACACAGGGAATTCTATAACCCCGGGAATATTGAATATTGCACGGAGTACGGGATACACCGAATGCTCGCTCTCGCCCCAATGCCCAGCCGCCAGAAACGACGATCAATTGGAGAGATCGCTGTGATTTGCCGGCTCGAAGCGAGTCGGTTGTGATGAAACAACTAGGATTTACCGGCCATTAAGTACAATTGTCGTGCTTTCTCTCTTAAAACGTATTATTTGGGCTGATGACTAGCGCGTCTTAATCTGGCCTGGGACAGCATACTAACACATTGAGTTGCATGTTGTACAACATCCAAGGATTTTACACGGAGTACGGAGTAGTACTTACTAATTATGATTTCCCCTTTTTCCAAGGTTTATTTCCTTTCTCGATTCATCCAATATGAATCATCCTACTCATCTCCCAAGTGGAGCTGCTCCACTTGGTGTAAAAACGTAAAAATGATACAATAAATGCCCTAGTATCGATCGATCTTGAAATTTCGATTGCATACAATTTGTGCTATAAATGGCTGAATATAAATGGCTGAAGGATTTAAGACTTCTTGTTACACATATAATATAATTGCATGTGGTTCAATTAGACCTTTAAAACTGTACCTGGCGACTTTTATGTGTTTTCCGAATGCAGAACCTTAAAACTCCATTAGTAATACCGAGAATCATTCTAAACCTGGAATACATTCAAATGTTGTGAAATCCATAATATTCATAATATTCATATTCATACAAATCTGCTTACGACCGAACCTTACACATCTAGGCAATGCCAAGGCAAAGCCTTGGAGTCATGATGTTGTGGCTAATATGGCTGAGACAAATCCACAGTGCATGGAAGGGGAGCTAGCTCAGTACGACGTAATCTCCCGCAGGGGGCTTACACAGCACGGGTGCCGCGTACTTAGGGCTACTCCATCGGGGTTCTCCCTCTATGTTGTAAGCTATGCGGTCTTCTTGCAAGGTGTCGATTCAAGATGTGGCGAGGTTAAGGGGGATCCTATTTCAATTATTGTTATTGTGCCTGGTGGCTTGCAGGTGGCGTCCTGGGTCTGAAACAAGCCTACAGTGCTGATCACTTGTTACAGCCTGCATGAGGCATCCGCGAACCAGATGTCGGAGTTGATTACATTTGTGTTTACTTTACTCTGTACAAGATTTATTTCTAGAGGTCTAAAGTTAGTCTTGCATCCATTCGATATTCAATCAACATGTTCATTAAAAAGGTGTTTCGAGATACATCATACTCCTGTCACATAAGCATGTGAGCAGGAGATCAACTGGTCTGTGGTATGTATGGTACATGAAATGTGTAGGACTGGCTTCCATCATTTAACTCTCCTGTTTGAAGTCAAGAGATAGATGACTAGTTCCGGAGACCACATCAGTTGCGCTGGTTGAACTTTCCATGCTGTCTGAAGCCTCCGAATCCGCTGGGTCCGCTGACTTCTCGGAACTCTTCGAAGTCTGGCTAACACTGCGCGAACGGTTGGTGTCGGACCCTGGCAGAGGGCTAATCATCGATGCGCCGATATCCTCTACGTATTCTGAGCCAGGAGGGGAATCGAAATCATTCAAAGAAGATTCAACCCAAGCCAGAACGTCGTCGTTTGGCGGAGTGGAAGGCTGGTCCAGTTGGGTAGTAATGTCTGATTTGGCGTCGTTATCCTCCTCACTATCTTCATCGAAGAAACTGCCGGCAGCGCACAAGCCGACCAGTCGAGTGAAATGCCACTGCATGTCCAGCAAGTCGAAACTCGGAAGCGGTCGCTTGACAGGGTCGTCGGTTGTCATTTTGAAGCGGTGGCCAGACTCAATGGCATGGTATGTTGGTTCATCTCGCTTTCCCAACATCACGTGCAGTCGATCCACGCTGTTGAGTTTCTTGGTAGAGATGGGCTCCTTGGTTAAATCAACCATGTCGTAAAGCCTGTGGTCTGGCCTCGGCTGCCAATAGAACTCAATTTCAATTTCGGTCATATCATCGGAGATCCAGACGGGACGCAGGGCGAACAAACCACTTGACCATGCAGACCGAAGGTCTCTCCGAAGACAGATCAGATTAGTGCAATCATTGACAGCACTTTCAGGCTGGGTTGGCTTCTTGAAAACAGCCTTTTTCCATCTTTCGGCTCTATCTTTTCCCCAGAACACATCCGCGAACCTCCAGATGTTAGGAGAAAGCGGATCATCTTGCAAGCTGGAGCTGATTGAGCTCGCTGGGAAGATCGGAGCAGTTTGGTAAATCTTGCGGGTACCTGTGATGACACACTTGTGTCCATCTCGTTCTCTGGCGGCATAGATTGCAACTGGGGGAGCGCGTGACCGCGGGCTGAAACTAGAATGTGGGCGCCCTGCTCCTATCTGTTGAGAGGGAGCTGGTGTCACCGTCCATTTAAATGGAAGGGTACAAATTAGGTCGCAAATAGCATCCATGATCTTCAATGAGAAGTGGGCGAGCTGCAGAATACACTCGAGCTTCTCGATGTCGCACACCTGTAAGACGGCCCAGAGTGGCGAGGGCACTTCTTGTCCCAGTAGAGCTTTCTTGAGCTGGCGAATGATGCCTTTGCGCTTCTCAGACGGGATATTGAAATTCTCATCATTCGCGCGAACAACCGTGGGGGAGCGACCTAGCCCCAAGGAACTTCCAGAGGGGAGGCGGCCTAGCTCCGAGCCAGAGGGGACTGTACTACCTGATGCGGATGCGTGCGACATATTGATCACGTGGAGGCTGCGTGAGAAAGACGGTGAATGTTATGATGATCCGCCAGGCACATGGGCGTGTTGACAAGAGAAGAGCGTTCTTTTGATCTGATCTTTGGCTATATATATGTTCAAATTGACAACGCGCGTGCTATTCACACTCGGGGAAGGAGCTGCTGGACGAGCCTATTCTCAGGATGCGATACATACAAAACGCCGGTGGCACTTTCCCAGTTCGTTTGCTAAAGTTATCATAAATTCATGGATCATAAACATCACTTTCATGGGTGTCATTACCGCCGAGAATGCATCCATTCTCGATCTTGAATATCTCGCATGCGCTTCTCCATCATCCGTGCTCGTGGAGGCATTCCCATATGAGGTCTCATACGGGGCATAATATCAGGCATAGAGGCCCTCTCCCGCTGGATGTCACGGATGCGTTTGCGACGAGCACTTCGGATCTCATCGGACAATTCAACAAGCTCATCGATGTCCTCCTGTAGGCAAATGAGTCAGAATCCAAGAAAGCCGTCTGTTCGGATGATACATACCGATTCTAGGTACGAGAAGATGTAGTAGCATGTCCTCGTCTCTTCATACTCAAATCCCATCTGCTCAATAGCTTCCCTCACTACCAACTTCTTCGCTATTTCCGTCCACCGATCATTTCGCGTCTCCTCCGGATCGGTGACCTGCTGAGCAATTCGTCCCATTTCCGCTTCACCCACTGACGTATTTCGCGGTTTAACCTCAACAATGTCCAGAGCCCCGGTCATTTCAATGGCTTCGTCGGGAGATGGAGCATGTACCACAGACCAGTCGTCCGTGCCTCTGGGGGCCTTGTTTACTATCCGGGTGCTCTTGAACATTATATCATCCTCCACATCGCGCATGGAAGAAGTGTCGCTTGTTCCATGGCTGTAAGCCAACTCGCTCTCCTCTTCCAGTGGCCCAGGTCGATGACGAGTTGCGGATATTGTTTCTCGCTCCCACGGGTCGTTGAAATCGACAGCTGGGCCGCTGGTCGGAGATATTGAGTCTTCTGGAGTAAGAGACTCTTCACTATCACGGTGTTTGAGGACTATGTTTTCCTCTGACATTCGTCCACCTCGCATTTTTCTAGACCGGATGTTAGTGTGCGGCAAAAGAAGAGGATTGATCTACTCACCGATGTTGAATATCAATCTCATCAAAGCTACCTCTCCGGGACCGCGGTTCCGGACTGCGCACACGAGGTGTACGGGCGTCTTTAAAGCCTGGTTTGGTTAGCAGAATGTTCTTGCTAGGCTACTAACGTCAGCCTTACCATGGTCAATGTGCCTATGGTGAGTAAACACGTCTTGGTGGATTGGGGGTACATGTATCGAATCCAAAGAAGGCGACGGCTGGCGAGATGAGAGCTTGTCCTTTGATTTCCGAATACTGATCTCTTCCTTAATCTTCTCAAAGTCGCGGGAGCGTGACTTGGAGTCAAACTGCGAGCGCTCACTAAGCTCTTCGTCCAGTGGGATCTGTTCCCTACCTCCTCGCCGAAGACCTCTTAATTCGCGTTCGAGATCCTCGGAAGGTACGCTGCGTCGTCTTTCACGGCCGCGTGTAACTATTTCCTCCTCATCAACACGGTCGACCGGGGCTCGGCGTCGCTCTGGAGGTGCATTGTCAAGGAGGACCTCTTCCACCTCGACTGTGTGGGGAGGCGGAGGCCGTGGCCTTGATCGATGGTATGGTTCTTTTTCCTCAAACTCCAATCTCCTTTCACGCGATCGAATATCGAGTTCACTGTCCCACCCGCGACGTAAAGGAGGCTCTTCCTTTTCTTTCCGCCGGATTACCCGTTCCTCTTCCTCGAATTCGCGCTCTGGGCGGTGTCTTCTTCCTCCATGTTTTCCCCGCCCTTCAACTAAGAGGTCTTCTTCCGACTCACTTTCTGGGCGTCGCCTGCGATGGCGTTTTTCTCTCTCCTCGTAGAGAAGATCGTCCTCAGACCTTCGTTCTGGGTGACGTCTGCTCCCCCTGTGTACTTCTCTGTCTTCAATAATCAAACCCTCCTCTTCAAATTCCCGAGGATGGCGCCTACTTCCTCGGCGTCTTTCCCGTTCAACGATGAATCCTTCGTCCTCCTCGAATTCTAGATCTGAACGACGCCTCCTACCACTGTCTCTTTTTCTTAATCTTTCCTCGAACAGAAGATCCTCTTCGGAGACTGGCTCCGGGCGGTGTCTTCTATCTCGACGCCTTTCTTTTTCGTCGATGAATGGATCGCTTTCGACTTTTCGCTCTCTTTCAGGACGATGCCTCCTATGCCCACGCCTTTCTTTTTCATCGATGAAAAGATCGCTTTCAACTTCTCGCTCTCTTTCAGGGCGATGCCTCCTATCTCCACGACTTTCTCTCTCCTCGAAAACCAAATCCTCGTCAACTTCTCGCGGATGACGTCGACTACCCCGGCGTCTCTCTCGTTCCTCAAGAACAAAATCCTCCTCGTCTACTTCATGAGGACGAGGTCTACGCCGAGACCCAGACGGCCGCATGTATGCATCATCGCGGTCTAGAGGCATGTATCGCTCAGGGGAGACCATGTCTACCTCCTCCCTTGACCGCATGTAAACCACATCATCCCGCTCTCGCGGTGGCGCAAAGCTCTCTTCCATAAAGTCTCGCCTGGGACGTTCTCGGATGTGCATACGCTCCATATCCTCGACTAGGGGTTCGGACCTTCGGCGACGATATTCGATATCTTCCTCGTAGTCGCGATCTCGTCGGCGCGGCCTGTGGTCTCGCTCACGCTCTCGTTCCATTTCGTAGAATTCATCTTCGTCGTAGTCACGGGGTGGTGCTCGGCGGGGCATCGTGGGACTGTGTGAATGATCACCGCATCGGATTTGGTGATCGATCGGCTGTTTACGGTCGGAAATCTATCTCGATCACGATGAGAAGACTCTTAGCTTCAGGCTTTGGCACGGGACCCTGTCAAACGGCTCAGTTCAAGGCAACCGTCAGTTTGGTATTTGGTGACTAGTGGGGCTTGCGCAAAAAGAAGGTGGGCTGTGCTCTAGTAGAAGTCACCAAGTCGGGCGGCTAATGAGAGTACGACGAGCAAGATAAATCGCTACCTAGGTAGATCAAAAATCGACTAAAAACACCTACACACACAATATAGGGCAGTAAAAACGTGGACCGTGTGACTTGGAGGGCTGACGAAAAGCAAACTGATCGACCCCGCGGCTGATGTCACCAGTTCTCTTAGCAGGGTCTACAACATACAAAGTAGGAAATCAACAACAATTCTCGTTCAAGGTCTTCGTGTTTGTTTACTCACTAAGTCTCCCAATCTTGAAGTTCTTCCCCGGAATCTTAGCTAATCCTATTGGAACCTTGGTTCTCTTCTCAAAAACCGTGGCTTTGGGATCTGTAATGCTTGGCGTTCTCGAAGTTCTTATAGAGGGCAACCCAAAGCCGCATATCCGAACCCTGTTGATCATTTGAGCCCAATGTACATTGTTGGGTGCTTCTGCTTGGAGTCCCCGGGAAGTTCACCACACACGGCCCCTTCGTGAAACCAACGTTAAGATTAGATGCACTTCTTAACGCCCACAACCCAGAGAAATATCAATCTAGCTCTTCTTGAGTTTCATATGCTTTGACAACGAGTAAAAGTATAAAATTATGAGCAATCAATATCAGTTCACCCAATGAGGCGATGGTGTGATTTTGGTCAAGGCATTGGGTATATCATAGCTATAATAAGCTGCGTAAGTGAAACCAGTACAAAAGTACATGAGAGAACAGAAGGTGATAATAGGCTCATCGGTCACTGGAAAGCAAGTCGCATCTGGCCCTTTTCGGGCTTACCCCGACTCCCTCCACCTCGCCCACCTCTCCCACGAGCAGCTGTACCTCGTGCACTATTTTTCGTGGGCAGTGGCGGCTGTGAAACCTTGGCCTCCTCTCTGTCCTGGCTTGCAAGGTCCTTGGCAAAGTGCCAATCATCATGTTCTTCCTTTTCATACTCATACATCGACTTAGAGCACCGTGGACATACGAACCGGGGAATCCCGCTCAGTTCGTGGTCCGTTTCAATAGAATCTCGGGGGCTGTCGGGCTCATCTGCAGCAGTATTTTTAAGATGTGATGGGTTCCCAAAGAAACCTTTTATCTTAGCCCCGTCTCCGTCAAGCTTACGTCTTTTCTCAGTTGAGGCTTGTTCACTGGAAGAACTATCGGCCTCTCGAAGTCTTGAAGAATGACTCAGAGCTTTTGCTTGATCACCGCGAATCAAGAAGCCCTCAATAGCCTTGTTGTTGCTCACGCCATCTTCAAAGCTTGACACGCTCAACGACAGGTTTGAACAGGGCCATGCCTGTCCGTCAGCCACAACTTGACGAAGCAAAGTATTGGCCAGATCGTAGAGGAGGTTCTCGTCAATTGCGCTAGAGCCTGGGATTGGTATTTGTCGAGAACGAGATTGCGTCGTTCGATAGTGCATCGTAATCACTTTTGGACGACGTCTATTTTCAAGCACGCCGTCTTCCACAAGCCGGCCATATATATCAGCTGCAAAGATACGAAGCCACTTCTCGGCTTGATCAAGTGAGTTTATGCTCGGTCTAAAAGACTTCGCGGATAGCATAGATTTAATTTGGGTTCGGGGATTGACCTCACTACGGTCCTCACCACGGATGATCCCGTAAAGCCAGGTTGCCGTGTGGTCGGCCAGCTTAGTGCGCAATTGCTCAAGGGGTACGTTAAGAAGCTCGCTGACTTTCTCCGTCCCAAAGGCGCCAGTTATTTGATCGCCAAGTTTACCACCCAGCATTCTGATCTGAGTAAATTTGTAACCACCTAGGAAATGTTGTACCGCTCGATTCCGCACAACGGTTTGTAGGTTAGGCTTATTGCAAGCACTTCCTAGTTTTGCGATCATTTTATTGCGGCCAAGCCCAGCGGAACAGGTATAGCTGAGCTTCTCCCAAACTGCATTCCGCACCAACCGTACAATTTCGGATCCTATCAGCATGACGACGTCATCCCAGTCTGGATCATCTTCCTCTGTTTCATGTTGATCCAGGTCCACTAAGCAGTCGGTGTCCCACTGCAAGGCTGTAGTCGGGGGTATAGGCAGTTCTGAATCCCTGTTCTCGTCTTGCGTTCCCATCCGAAGTTCTGGGTATCTCTGAAGAAGCGTCTTATATATCAATGGAGACAAATCAATGAAAACTTCATCAATACTAGCTTTCTCCACCACAGCCGAGAACTCTTCTTTCGAATTCTGAGTTTCGACTTCCAAATCATCGGCACTCCATGTGGCCAGAGCCTCCTTCATTGTCTGGAGGATCTTTCGTGATTGTGCTCGGTACGGATCCAGCGACACCTTATCCGTGCTGATACTTCTGAATGAATCATCCCGATATGCCCACCGCCCTCCCTCTCCTTCTCGAAAAGTCGCGACATGCTGCAAGACAAGGTCTGGGCAAAGTTTCCTGGCCTCAGCAACATTGATCAATCGACTGATTCCGAAGGGTCGGGCGGCATAATTGATGGCAATCAAAGAGTCCCATTGCCGCACTGCTAATGGTACATCCCGCGGAGTCCCCAGGCGGACCATCTCACACTGCGCATAGAAGGCATCCAGGTCGATATGCGCAATCACGCGTAGAGGGGTTGCCGTAGATCCCTGTCGTAACCCTTGCAATTGTCGGTAGGTAAAACGGGAGACCTTCAAGGGATCGGACGACTCGGTGGGTTCGGACATGCTTGTACGTGCGTCATGACGGTGAACATCAAACCATTATTGGGGTTGTCGGTCAGAGCTTGGAATCTGATGCTTTCAACCTTGGGACGACATCCCAAAATGGACTAGCGCCGGCACGTGTTAGCTTCAACCTGAGGTTCGGGTTGTCTCAGCACTTCAATTCGATTTCCCTTACATCTTACATGTGAAGTGTTCAATGTTATTTTAATGTTCCTATACAATGACTAGCCAAGTCCAAAAACAGCCACAATCTACTTTTCTATATTCCCCAGAGTTATAGATCAGGCATGTCCAAATGACCCATCACTTAGTCCCTGCTTATTTTTCTTCAACCACCCCTGCACAGTCAGATGTCGTGTTCTCGTGCAGGATTTTCCGATTTTATAACTCGTCCACTACGGAGTACAGAGGTCTCGAACATGAAAAAAAAGAAACGAGACAGGATGATCTCCGATCTGTGCGATCCAGCTGACACAGGCGGGCTGTGAGTGGACCAGAGGCTCGGAGCCTTCGCGCAGGTGCCCAAAGCCACGCATTCCTGCCCAACGGCCATCTCGTATGGACATCAACTGCCTGCTTTTCAGGTGGCAAGTTCGCAGGTCGCCACCGGTCTTTTCTGTCAACAGATTGGCCCTTGGATGTCATGCTCGTCAGAACAGATGGTGTGTGAGGGATCAATCACAATGAGTCCTATAATTTGCCTCCTCAACCCTGCCCTCTTCCGCCATCTATACGAACATCTGACAGGTTCCGATGATCTCATTTACTATCAACAGCTCTGCTTGACCGCTGCTGAAGATCCACTGGTGGAGTCCTGTCGAGTTTCGATACTCATCCGGTCCAGGGGCACAGACTAAGGAGCAATCCAAGCTGGTTGAATATGGGGGATCGGCCCTTATTTTTTCGTCCCAACTAAAATCCAGTGGGAGACAAAGAGCAACCCTTTAAGGTCTAGTTTTAGGGTACGAAGTCCATCTCCAAGTATCCACTCCGTACAGCTGTCTACATTTGCTTGCTTTTTCCAACATTGGAAGTGTTAGTTTGATTAAGAGGGGGGAGTATATATCCATAGTTATCCATAATTATATACAATAAATACCTAATAAATCATACAAAATGAAGAGTTTTCAAGCGGCTACAGGCATAGGGTTGCACATCAGTCTAATCCACATTTGACCATGCATGCTTTTGCCTTGATCTCAGTGGGGAGTCGTGGCACCAGCCCAAGACGGCCCAACCGCCCTGGCCCTTTGATGTCCACTTTACCTCCCCCCCCCCTCTTCCTTCTTCCCTTCTCTCTCTCTTTCTTTTCCTTCTCTCCATATTCCTCTGGCTTCTTTTGCCAGCACTTCAAAGTACTCTTTTTTTACCCACTGGGAAATATCTAGTTCATCCCTGAACAGATTACAGACAGCCCACAGGACCCCCCCTCCCCGTCAGCCCGTGTTTCTCTTTCTCCTAATTGATCCTGACAACTCATCCTCTCTTGAACACATTTCAACCTCTTGTCGCTATTCAACCATTTTTTGAGGCCTTCTCTCTCAATTTCCCAGGATAATTGCCCCAGTGGACAACCAGCGAGGATTTCTTCCCAGGATTAACCGGACTTTTCCCACTAAGGACTTTTACTATTCGCGACCAGGATCAATTTTTTCCTGGTCACTACCCAAGGATCGTATCTCGTGTTCTGCTTGCCCTGGAATCGAGGAAACAAACCATTCAAGTCGTTGATTGTCGGCTTTGGAACCTGCTCGTCGTCTGATAGAATCTGTACATCCTACAATAAAAACGGACTCACCACCATCCTTCAACTTTCCCAGGACTCTCAACCTATCTACCACACTCCGGACTTCCTCTCGGACTTCCTCTCGGACTTCCTCATTTCTGGCCCTTTGGATCCGAGGACTTTAAATTTTTTAAACCGGATATTTTCCTCCCTCGGAATACATTATGACAGGCCGCTATGAAGGACGCCCGGAGCGTCAGAATGAATATTTCATCCCCGGTGAAGGAATCAGCCGAGAAGTTATTCAAGCAGATATTTGTCGCTACCTTGGAAATGATGCCCTCGTGAGACCTGGCAACCACAATGTTCGT